ATGCTGAGGCAGAGGAAGCGTCGTCAAGGTCCATCAAGTGAAAATCAACAAGAGGGCAAAGGCAATGGCAACAGCGGCAACAGTAGAAGGAGCGGCAACAGGACCGGCAACAAGAGGAGGAGCGGCAACAAGAGGAGGAGCTCGATGGACCAGTCAATCGAGTCAATCGAAGCTGGAATTTATGAACTTTGACTTTGTTACTCGTCGTGTTGTCCTCGAGCGAGTTCTTCGAGTTATTTGAATCCTTCGTGTTCAAACGACAAACTGCAAGCCAGTCAAAACGACCAATGTCGGTCCTAGGTAGCAAACAGAGACCAATGACAACTGCCGGTTGACCAACAGTAACATCCACAAGGATAACAACAAAAACAACGAGCGATCGATCGCTCGTGTTGTTGTTCACGTATGTTCGAATCTGATTCCGCGTACGATTCGAGTTTGAAATGAAAAAGTGAGGAGTTGGCGAAAAAGATATAACCTGAGCACGAATCAGGCAGTTCGAAGCATGACTCAATGCATGACACACAAGCCGAGCCTTATATATGCAGTCGGAGCTCATTTTTCGCTGAATTCTGTTAACTCGGCCGATCGATCCTCGATCCGTGCTGAAGATGAGCTTGTTATCTCCGTCGATCGATCGACTGATGAGATGATGAGGCAAGGCTTTACCGGTGATAGAGATAACAGTAATAGCAGTAGCAGCAGTAGTAGTAGCAGCTCCTGCAGCGATCGAGATAATAGGATCCTCATTGAGATTACGATCGTCAATAGGATTAAGAAAGGTGGACTCCCATAGGAGTCCATATATAGGATCCTCATCGCAATTTCGATTGACGACAGGATGGAATGGGAGATTGCTTTCAAGCGAATCAGATGGTTCATCCTCATTGAGATTACGATCGTCAACAGGATAAAGAAGAGGGGTATCAAGAGATGACAAGCTACAGATGAAGAGTGCAAGAGGAAACTCGGGAGCAGTCTGCATCAAGGAGTAGCGAAATCCCTTGATAACCACAAGGGATAGACATATAAGAATAAGAATGAGTAACATCTCATAACCTCGCATGCTACCATGCGACAATACCATTGTGCATTGATTAATCTAGGGATCTAAGAGATGTAAAGTTTGTATTTCCAAATAAGTGAGCAGTTATTGATTATTTTCTAGAATAAGCCTGCCAATTGTAAAGCTGTAAAGCTGAATTGTAAGCTGTATCCCGTCGCATGTTACTTCTCTAATTCTTTTAATTTGGTACTTAGGCTTGAAAGAGGGCCAACACTGGATCTTCGCGCCTTGAAATCCAAAAATTTGAGGCAACTCCACTCACAACTCAAGGAAAAGCAAACTCGAAAAGGCGAAACTTCGAACTTTGACTATTGACAACCAAAAACATCGATAATGCCAGGACTTTATGGCAGCCATACACCTCCCCGTCAAGGCAATGGTGGCGCTATTGAAGATGACGAAGCTGAAGACTGGTACTTCCCTCAGAATGGCAAGCACTTGCCCTACCTACTCCATTTCATGTCATTTGTGGAAGGACGACTTGATGACCCTCTCACTCCTGACACCACCTTCACAAAGGAACAGATGATGAGCATTTGTCCATCTCAAGTTCGCCAGTGGTTGAACTTCAGAGCCTATGGTGATCCTTTCCCCAAAGCCGATGATCCTGTGACTGGATGTCGGTCGGCCTCCTTGAAGAAAGCCAAGCAGGCCGTGGGTTCTACATGCCGAACAAGAGTCTTCCTTGGATGGACGGACGCGGTGGCAATCCTTGCCGACACATCAGTCTCATCGATTTGATTAAGAAGGCTGAACACAAGGAGACTCGCGAAGAAGGCAGGGCAGCCAATGACAAGCGTCCATACACCAAGGCTGAGTTCGACAAGCTGTTGCAGGTTCTCCGTTGGGCCCCTCCACCCAACAACAACATCACTCACCGCTTGAAGTTGCCACTCATGACTCTTTGGGCCTACGATCTCATCCACTGTTTGGATGACACCTGTCATTTTAAGGTGGATTCCCCTCATGGATCCGTGGAGTTCCCCTTGCTCTCATGACTCGCACGAAATGGTCGAAGAACGTCCGAAACATGGGTCAGTGCTGAACAGATCATCTTCGCCTCTGGTGATTGGAAGAACTGCTGCCAGCTGTGGCTTGCGGAGTATTTGGAGAAGTGGTTGAATCTTCACCTTCAAGTTAACTTCCTTTTCACAGCAAACGGTCACCGTGAGGAACAGGGCCCATCCAACTTGAATCAGCAGTACAAGAATCGTGTTGCTGCTCTTGTCTGGAGTCGGGCTGACTTCTGCGCATTGGAAGATCAAGTTGGAGCGCGGCAAGACAGGAGGGGCATTGGCTTTCATTCCCTCCGGAAGTTTGCCGCTACTCGTGCCACAAGGAAGGGATGTTCCATCAGCCAAGCTGGATTTCGTGGACGCTGGATTGGCGAACGTGGGTCAGTGGTCGGTCGCCGCTATGTCTACACAAACGATGCATACACTGATGCCTATGTCGCATCGTGTCTATGTGAAGTTGGAGCGGTAAAGTACAAGTTGCGAACTGGTGTTGTTGAACTGTGGGATGAGTTCCAGTTTGGCATCGGCAGCAACAGGCCTGTCAAAAGCTTCACTACACCTGAACGCAACAACAGGATGTCTGACATCAAGCAGAAGTAGCTACTACAGGAGATCCAAGGTGTGGAAGATTCAGGCCTACCTTTTCAATGCTGGGCACTCCATCCATGCCATCAACGCGAAGATTCAGCAGGTCTACCAGTCTGACAGGCCGACAACCATCATCGATTAGATCATCGTGGATTGAAGGGGCCAACCGTGGCTTCCCCATGGTGCCAGCTGTCGGCTTTCGCCTCAACAACCAGTTGCGTGCTGACACATTTTAGGCAATGTTGGTGGCACCTTCGCCACTTACGTATTTGGCGACCATGTCGCTTTTCGGCGGCTTGGTCTTGGCGTCTTTGTTCTTCGAAATCCCTTTGGGCCTACCTTTAGCTTTAAGAAATAGTGGAACCAGTGTACATGATTCACCGCGTGTGTAGAGTTGTACTGACTTAGCCGTATGTACATACATGTATCATGTCCTACGGTATCACTCACACTGGAATAAGGGTAAAATTTTACTCCCTTCTCTGAGCTTAGTGCTTTCCTTGTACTGGAAACCCACCAAAACACCACCTTTCTGGGCTCTTTAAACAACTCCACCCCGCACAAGCATGCAATCCAGTCCACTCAGCAATCATTCGTTCCGTTTCCCGGCTGTCTGCATGTTGCTAGTTGCTACCGGTACCAGGTAGCTGTGTTCTTATTTTATTTATTTTTTTAAATTTTCCCAACTCGCTCTGTTTCAACAATGCTGACTACAGTGCGTGACTGCACCCGCACATGCATAGCCTTTTAAAAATTTAAAATGATCAGAATTTGATTTCAAATTGAGTCCCATGAAAGTGACGCAAGTTGTCTCGAGTCGACTCGAGTCGTGACGCGCGTCGTCTCGTGTCAACTTTTTACAAGGGGACGTTACCTAGCTAGTGACCCCCCTTTCGCGTAATTCCCTTTATAGTATTTATTTTATTTTATTTTATTTTATTTGTTCCGTTGCAACAACAACAACAACAACAACAACAACAACAACAACAACAACGTGCAGCAACGCCACAATACCAATGCAAACAACGCTTCGCCATCATGTCTTCTTCATCTGTTTGGGTTCAGCTCTACTACAAGGGAGAGGAGACCAGTGATCGTGATCCTGTAGAAATCATTCCAATCCCAAGGAACATTGGTGCCTTGAAAGCAGCGGTGCTGCCGGAGCTCAGCCCTACATTGCTGGGTGAAGTTAAGGTGTATGCTCCAGGAAGCACACCACGTTTCTCTGAACAGACTTGTATTAGGGGAGACAAGATATTGAAAGAGCTGATTGATGAATTGGGGAATAAAAATCCTTGAGTGTCCATTGGTTATGCTCATCCCTTGGTTGTGGTGGTACCCGATCCGAAGCAAGCAAATGGTGCGAAGTGTTTAAGATTTGGTTCGTTGGTTCGTTGGTTCGTCCTTCGCTAACAATTAATCTGCCACTCTTTGATTACTACTGGTATAATTGCCATCTAAAGGAAAAGTGACGACAACGAAAGGGGCCATTTGTCGACCCAGAACTCATGCAGGTGCTTGCCAGAAGGTTTATCAATTTGCAGCTGAGGTTGGGCTATATCCTCCAGGATTAAATACCGACACAACGTTTCGGGTGCTTCCTTGTCATGACACAGCTCGCAGCGTTCTAACATTCTCAGTCCATTTTGAAAATCGAATCGCTGCAGCTAAGTTTCTGGACCAAGTTGCAAGCTACTTGATTGGGTCCCGGGGGATGATGTACTTTTGTGACGATTCTGGGGAAGCGGTGGCCACACCAAGAATTGTGTCTATTTCGTCCTATGAGATCAATCCAGATCAGACGATCCTTTCGGTTCATTATTTTCAACGAAGACAGGACGATGCAGAAGCTAGTGAGGAAGCTTCTGTTGGCCCGGCGGTTGATAATGATTCGCCTCCGATCGATGTCGTTATGGAGAATCGCTCAAAGACCGACTATATGACTGTGGTGACTATTCTGTCAAGACGCGATCCAGTCTTTCTACACAAGAGAATTGAAAATGCTTCGGCGTTTGCCCTGGCGGATCCTGAAAGTGCCCACATCTTTCCGCATGCCAAGTGTGTTGGGCAGTATGAATGGCTCGATGACAAACCCTTCAATCGATTAGTGCTGAGCAGAGATTTACATCTGAATTTTGATGCAAGTGCCCAAGGACGTGCCAAACGTCGGAAGACGACCCCATCATTTACCTTTAAACCTCTTCCAGGAAAGGGGGAGCCCTTGTATAGAACTGTGGACCACAACTCAGTTCCATGCTACGAAATCCCACTTGAAATTGTCATTTTTGACAATGATAAGATGGAGGCTTTGTTGACCCACCTTTCAAATTATGCTCAGCTCAACAGACACAATACACGGCACTGGACTATAACTGGCGCGGAAGTGCGGATTTTTTATCCTCGAGACACGAGGATCAATTTGGTAGCGGAGGCAAAAGATGGAAGCGTGCCAGCAGGCACGACGGAGGATCTAGGAACAGCAATTCCTGGTGTTGATGATCTGAGCACCTGCTGGTCCAACTCCGTTACACACCGCCTCCGTTTGGAAGAAGCCGAAGTGTTGGAGAAGCTCCTAAGTTGGAACTACGTAGATGCCTCGAGAACTCAGTCATCGCTGATGCTGTGAATGACAAAGGGCACCTTTGAAAAGAAGTGAAAGTGACTGCAAGAAGCAATTAGGGGATAATAGACCTTGCTAATCACTCAAGTACCATTCTAACCCCCTTGTACTCCACTCGACCATACGTTGCTTGTAAAGTCTCTCATCCGTCTTAATACGCTCCCTCATCAATCTTGTATCCTTCTGTTGACCTCGTTGTAAAAAAAATGGGACGGGTGGACCAGATTGGGGGCCTGCGTCGCAGGTGAGGGAGTTTACGTTTCATAACCTTAACTCATTAAGGTTAGAGTTATGAAACACCCGAATCTATTATTACACCCTCTGGTTCCCGGTTTCCTACTGTTTTACTATAAGTTTTCGGATGAATATGTGAGACATAGATAGGTGTGGTGTGGGGATATGTGGGCCATATAGTTGCACGGGCTGGCCAGGGGTCGGCGGTGGGTGAACGGTCGAACAAACAGAAGTCTCGGTAAGGTCGATCGTTGTGGATGAGTGAGATCGGGATCAGTATTGAGGACCGGTGGATACAATCAAACATCATGTTGTGTTGTGAAATGTTTGTAGGTCACCCAGGGGATGACGGTCCACTCAGAGTACTAGCTAGCTAGTAGTTGTTACAGTACATGTATGTAGTACATGTACTGAGTTCTCGAGTGTGAATGACGACTGACCGAGGACTGGTCCTATCCAGCTTAAATGACGTCCGTTCGTTCGCGAAATCGAAATAACGGCTCAATTTCCTCCAAATCCACACGTTCGGCGAACCGCAGAAAATGTTTATAATAAATAAATAAATAAATAAATAAATAAATAATAAATAAATAACTATAAAGGGGATTACGTGAAAGGAACGGTACTAGGTAACGTCCGCTTGTAAGAAGTAGGGGAAGGGATCAAGGGGTTCTGGGCGTGAAGTAGGCATATATGGACCGGCAAGGACTGAGGACGGGGAATGTTTATAGTAAAAAAGTGGAGCTGCGGTTCGCCGAACGTGTGGATTTGGAATTCGCGTAGGACCAATCAGAACTCATTATCTCGCACTATCCCCAACTCTAGCGAGTTTCGAAAATCAGAACTCATTATCTCGCACTATCCCCAACTCTAGCGAGTTTCGAAAATCGAAAAGTGAGATCTCCTCTCGAGCACGTCCTCGAATCATTGAAAAGTGAGAAGAAATACATGCATGCATGTACTACTACTCAATGAGTTTCACCCTAACCCTGATGAGTTCGGCTTATTCGCGAATGACGTATCTGCGAATGGTTAAGAATGAAAACACATACGCGAAAATAAATGTGTTTCCTGTGCGAACGTACGAACCACATGAATGTGGTTAGGACCAGCCCTGAGGACTCGACTCATTATCGATCTCCTTACCACAAAGATAAACGCAGCAAGGCTGCAAAACATCCATTGCATGGGGATCATCAAATAGCATACGATTGTAGCTACCGGTACCAAGCAGCCATGGGACGTGGGAGGCCCAAAGGCCGCACTTCCACTACATGCAACTAGAGTTGAGGGTCTGGGCAACATGTTGCTTGTGTAATGTTTGGCAACGTGATACAGTATGGGCGATTCAAAGGCGCGAAAGCTGTATCTTATTAAATGCAAACCGGAGTGCCTTCCTTCTGGGAACCTTGCTGTGGCTGGTTCTTCAAGTTGGCCAAGCTGTGGCTGAAACCGTAAGCTCACTGTGCCCTACTACCAAGGAAGCAGCCACAGTAGCCCCGCAGTTGCAACATCTGCACATGTGCATGCCTGGGGATATTTCGGGGAGGCAACTACTCGAGTACCGGTAGCTAGTAACTAGCTAGTAGTCTTCTTTTGTTCTTTTGCCCAGCAGAGGCCCTCGGGAGGCAGCGAATGGCAGCGGTACCTACCGAGTAACTCCTCAAGTAGCCTGCTTGCTTCCTGAGCGACCGCCACGAGCTTTCCAGTGAAGAAAGTCTTCTGGCTAATCGTCAGCTGCGAGTCGAGTCTAGTCAAGCAGCGGAACAGTAAATGAAACTACAAGGCTTACAGCGAACGTGCAAGCGTCAACAGTTACTTCTCACTGTCAGGTACCTGTACAAGTATGGAAATAAGCAACGGCCGGGCCGAAAGAACTACTAGTAACAGTTTCTTCTGGGAAGCTGGGAAGAACAGAACCTTCGCCGACCAGGCGAAGCTGTGACACCCAACGAAGTGCCAGGAGTGTGGGGTCTTCGCTTGCACGGCGGACCGCGGGGAACGTAAATAGGCACCGAAGAGACTTCCACATTGTATTGCACATGTAGCGGGCTGTCTGCTGGCTGTAAGGAAAAGAAGTACCACGTTAGACAAGGCCTGCGGTGCTGCGGTGCAGTTACCCCAGCAATTGGCCAGCCAGTGAAGGACTTCAGTGTCTCCACTTGGCTATTGGCCGGCTAGCTAGCTAGCTAGGTGGATGTGGGCCCAGTCCTTTGAAGCCTCAAAAACGAAGAATCTGTGGTACCGTAGATCAAAGATTCGGGTACCTGGTACTGGGTACGATGTACCTACAGCACTCGTACGCAGTGGTACCAGTATGTACGGTACTGTATGTACCAGTACTGCCCCACCGAACATTCGCGAACCGAACGACGAGTGCTCCTTCAATCCAAGACCAGTCAGTACCGTACCGGTACATCTAGATTCAAATCGCGCATATAGGTCCACGACTGTACCGGTATGGTAGGAAACTACATGTATTTTGTACCGGTTCGGTAAAGATGAAAAGGGCGAAGAATGTAGAACAACCAAGATACCAAGATCCATCCCAGATCCCGGATGAGCGGTATCGATACCTACATGACATTGTAGCACTATTATGCTGCATCTCACCTCTTCACTCTTCAGCTCCTCTTTGTCAGCTCCTCTTCCCTCATGTCCACAGACTTTTGGATGTCTGCAACAGCCTCAAGGTATGATCTGAGAAAAAGAAGCTTCTTGAGAGCCGCTGCAGCCACCGGTACACAAACATGCCCATTGGGCAATTGATAACTTCCAAGTGAACATTGCAGTGGCACCAACGACCATTGGAACAGTTGAAATAATGTGAACATTAACTCTGTTGAGCGGTTGAGCTATTGGCTGTGACGCTTCCGGGTAGGGCTGTTGGTACCTGGTATAGAACACTGACAACTCAATGGATAGTAGTTGAAGCAGGAACGGGTCTCTCTTGAATTTCCTTTGTTGTGTGTGGCACTTATCATTGCAAGGCGGTACGTACGGTCAGTAGAGTTGCAGCCCGAGGGCCTTACTGGAGTTGGCAGCCAAGCAAGTAGTGTAGTGGCTACCATACCGGTAGCTAGGTCAGGTGCCGCCAGTAGGCGAAAAAAGTATCCTGGATCATAGCTGGCCTCTCCGTGCGGATGAGCTGTGCAAGGTGGGCAAATAAAAAATCAGGAAAAGATGCATCACCTGAAAAAAACTAATGAAGCCCAAAGCCAGCTGCCAGGAGGCAGGATTGACACAAACCTCTACTACTAGCTAGTCTAGTAGCTACCGGTAGTCTACTACTACCGATATCTTACTCTACTAGCCCAGCAAACCAGCAGGCAAAAGCACCAAAAGCTCTTCCACTTTTAAGACTATCAGTACCGTATCAATTAAATTTGCCACAGCAGCAGCTGGCTTTGCTGACAAAATCATTCTTTCTTTTTTCTGTCTTTCCACGTTCCACTTACCACTTGCCATCCACCAAGACCAGAGCAGTTCTTTGGATTGCATGCAGGTAGATCTTGAAGATCTTGAAACGATTAATAATCTATTTATTTGCACATACATGGCTGAGCTCCTCTGATGTGAGCATAGTGCTTTGCTTGTACACCGCTGCTCCCTGGAGTCTCCGGCCAGCGTGTTGCGAGGAGGAGCATGAGGTGTAGGGGCTGTCCACAGTGCAGTCTCCCAATACATACATGTAGTCTAATCTTTCACTCGTAAAAGGATCAAGATGCCCCAGCAGCGAGCCGGTAACCGCAGCAGGCGCCAAATATTTTATTAAATTGACCGCGTCGGTCGTTGTGTCGCATGGTGCGTGGTTGTTTGCAGAGTCATGGAAAACGTATGCTCGACTTCAACCTGCCGATCTTTGGTTGGCCATCCCATCAAGGTGGCAGAGCTGGGTGCGCACGAATCGGAGTCATTTACCACTGGAACCTGAGGAACTTCACATCTTCTCATCATTTATTTATGTGGGCATGGCATCGGCAATGTTGCTGATGGAACATTCTGTGGGCTTAGGAGCCTGTGACTCACCACTTTCCGATCAACTTGTTTTATTTACGGCAATTGTATTTGACATTTCTGCAGCTGTTATTGTCCGCATGTCCGATTGAGACTCGTTTCTCATTGATTCTCATCCTGCAATATTATTATCTTTTTGCATGAATGAGGATAGGATTTGATTGGCTAGGTTGTCGAGGTCTTGGGTGGTGTTCTCCGTTTTCGTTTTGATACGTAGAAGCCTTGTTGACATGACATTTACTGGAGTCATGGAAACATCTTAGAAAGTGACATTATTGTGACAGAACGGATACTTAGATAATCTTACCATGTGTAATCAAGAGACGCCAGCGCTGATGCCGCTTCAGGAAAAACCGAAGAAGCATCACTTTAAAAAAATAGATCGCATGGATACCGCATGCCCCCGAGGGGGTATCTTGGCTTTAGTTACCACACCAACGTCATGAGAGCGTGACACCCCTTTTTGCCTACTTCAATCCCCTCGTTTTTCCTCTTTGAGGAGCCAATCAAAGAGTTCCGTTCCATCGGTCGCCCCTGGCCTCTTGTGCAACTACAAAGAGGTGGTGTGGTACTACTAGTATTCGTAGTACCATAATAAATACCCAAGTGTTTTGTAATAGACTCGAAAGAAGAAACATGAGGAGCCATGGCAAGCAGAGCACGGTCGTTGGAGGCAGCCACGATCCTTACTCCTCTTCTTCGGCTTGCAGGGACGGTCACCCCTTGTTGGCTGGTGAGAGTATTGCCTTGACGGCAGAGGAAGATCCGATCCGCCGTCGCCTCTTGGATCACAAGGAGCAAATGGAAGTCATGTTCTGGCAGGAGATTTCTCACTACAAGACGACAGACTATCTGTCGTTCCCAGCCAGCCTGCCTCCCATTTGCGGCGGAGGGGAGCGTGAAGGTGTCATGGCCGAGCAGTGGAGGACCCGCATGTGCGAGTGGGCGTATCAGTGTAAGTCCCAATCCAATCCAATCGGTCCCGTACTAGTACAGCCGCCAACTAAAAAAGAGCCCTGTGCTACCCTTCCTCTTGGATGGGTATATACCCTCTGATAATGGTGTTATCTGGTCTTCTAACACTATTATCTTCCTTTCTTGCCTTGTCCTCTTTGATTATCTATCTATCTTGGGGGTATTCTCATATCTTTTTGGGTATATCTTTTATCTTATCTACCTCCAACCAACAGTGGTGGATCACTTTGACTTTCCTCGCCACATTGTCGGCACGTGCATGAACTTTCTGGATCGGTACCTGGAGCGATACTTTGCCGCAGAAGGTGGCGCACCAAAGATCCAAAAGCGACACTTCCAAAAGGCCACCATGTGCTGCCTCTACTTGGCCATGAAGATCCGCGGGCCGCACAGTCGGATCCCGGCGGCCTACATGGTCCAGCTCAGCCGCGGCACGGTCAGTGAAGAAGAAATGGTCGACATGGAAAAGGATCTCCTCAAGACTCTCTTCTGGTTGGTGAATCCTCCCACCGCACATGACTTTCTGAAACACTACCTGTGTCTCTTGCAGCCCAACTCTTTCCAGACCACCGCTGGCGGGGTGCCCAAGAATCCTCGTCTGTCCGCGGTGGAAGACTTGGCGTCCTTCTTGGTGGAGCTCTCGGTCTTGGATTACTACTTTATCAACTTCAGACCTTCCACTCTCGCTTTGGCGGCGCTCTTCAACGCAATGGACGAAGATCCAAACGCTACCGCCTCCACCAATCCCCTCTTGTTGAAAAGCCATACATTCTACCATGGCTATGAACGCTTGATCCTGCCGGGAGAAGAACAAGCTGTGCACATGGCGCGTCAACGCTTGGCGTCGCTATACGGCAATGCTGGTTCAACAGAGGATAGTGATGATGATGCTGCTGCTGTTGACGAGTCGTCTCCATCTATGGAAGATGAAGAGGACAAGGATGATGCCCGCACCAACTCTCCTGTCAGTGTCACAAACACTGGTGTGCACACTGCCTTTTATGAGCAGTAGGCCAACAAGAATACTACTACTACTTACTCCAAGCAAGCAAGCAAGCAATCACTCTCATCAACATTGATTTGACCCTACACTCAAGGAACGGCCCTCATCATGGCCTTCTATATCTACCTACCTACCGTACGTACCCAAAACTTGATAGACTACCAACCAACACAAAAACACAGAAAAAAAGGAAAAAGGCGCAGAAACCCCAAAAGAAAAATATGCATGCTGACACCACTAGCATGTACGGTACCCAAACATACATACATACATACACTGATAACACTCTACTAGCAGACCATTACAAAGATGATACATTCGTGGTTACCTACCAACGACTAAGTACTAATCAATCTCCAATCTAGCCAGATCCATTGCACTGTTTGATTGAGCGCTTCCTCTACCTTATCTACACTAGCTTGCGCAGCTAGCCTCAACAGCACCACCTCCGTCCAATCGCCGCACCTGGGGCTCTACCGGTAGCTACATTAGTAGGGTTGGCTTAGGAGTCCAACAAACTGCATTGGTGCTGCATTGGTGCTACAGTAATAAGAGTACATACATATACCTTCAGCTTGTGCTAGCCAATTCAATTGCCAACCAAGATATCCATCCTGCAGAAGGTGGACTCTCCGGAGACAAGGTGTGCAGGTCAGGAGAGAACTACTAGAGAATTCCAACCACCAAGACGGCACTTGCAGCATAAAGTATCTTTTTTTAAAATGATAATGGAGGCTTTTACGGTGACAAGAGCAGCATAGTTCTGTGGCTGCCAGGAAGCGGGCAGCCACAGGGCATATTATTGTCCTGTAGTACGTTTTGCCATTGAGAAGCCACAGGAGCAATCCATCCGGAGGACTTTGATGTCGTCTGCGCTACACGTACTAGTACGAGCAGTCCTATTGGTTCTTCGCATTCAACCGACCCATGCATCATGACATGCAGTCGCTCCTCTCCAATCATCCGTCCGAGGCTAGATTTGTCGACTTTTCCAAGACTCTGTAGACTCCGGTGGTTGAAGAACAGCTGGACGGGTATCCGTCATCCGTTGGTCCTCAGTTCTACACTCCTCTACAAGCTAACTCTAAGCAACTAAGCTGGAGTCAGTACCGTAGGAGGAAGGATAAAGAGCTCTAGCTAGATAGACCAAGGAGGGCACCGGTAGCAGAGCACTAGCTACTCGTAACCATCCATCGAGCTACCGGTATCGGGTATCAGCAATCAAGAACAAAGATCGAGGCCCTTGATCTGATATGATGTGGTCGAAAACAGTGCCCCGATGGCCGCGATCAGTCCTGTCCTACTGAGTACAATATCCAGGCGTTCCATTGGATAGATCGGTTGCATTTTCAGAGTGACAGTCATGTCGGGTGGTGTCTTCAGAGCTACCTGTTCGCTTTTGCCTTCTTCTTGGACCCAAGCATAGAGGAACTTCTCAACAGGAGCCATTTCCGGGATCCTGTACAACAACGAGATCGAGATCTTGCCTTTGGAAGACTGTCGCCACGCACATGAGAGCAAAAGAAAAAAATGAAGAGCCACCAAAGCACCAGCTTCCCAAAGTCTGCTTGCATTTGGTGGCATCACGTGCATCTCAAGATTTCATTCACACTTCCACACATCTTGAAGGGTTCACTGTGTCGCCTGTGCGGTATTTTTAGTTAATACATTGAATACTCCATTTCAGAAACTGACATGTACGCTTCTAAGCCGTTTTCTTTTGGTAAGATCTCCAAACGAGAACTGAAGCAGAACCTTTGTGTACGAGTACTCAGAGTAACTGGTCGGCACCGGTACCAGGTACATGTGGTATGCATGTGGTACGGTATGTACGGATGAACCGTACGTACGTACACTCAGGCAGCTATTAATTAAAATAGTACATGTACCTGGTACAGGACCAATCTTTTCCCACCAATCGGAAACAGCCTGCGGGCTAACGGCAGTACTGCTCGAAGTACAGTACACGATGGTACACATTGTGCTTTTCGGCAGTCTTCTAATACTGTTTACAATACTCGAGTAGTTGCTTGCGCTTCCAGCTCAGTTTTTGGACCCAGCTCCTAGTCCATCAAGGCAGCATCATCATGTCACGGCAGTGCCCATAAGGCATTGCTGCAACTACGAGGCTGCGTTCCGGAACCTGTCAGACCATAGGGTTGCTCATCACGTACTTGTCGATGTCGATGATGATGATGATGATGATGAGACCATGATGGTTCCAACTTGAACACAACTTGGTTGTTGTTGCTTTTCATGTTCTGTCTTAGAACCTATTTATCTTCTGGATTTCGTGATGAGCACCTCTTTGCTGGGCTGCCATGCAGCCTGTTGATTGGTGATTCATTCGTGAAGGTCCACATAAAGCGTGCCCCCAGTCTCCCAGTCGGCACTTCAACAATTCTTCTTTGTGTTAGCCAGGAGTTTGTCAAGGAGCTCGTGGCTGCAATCTCAACCAATGCCAATGCCAAGAAGCCAAAAGCCAGGCGGAACAAGTAGACCTACTGTAGTGGCTTAGATGGAATTGGTGAATTGGATTGTTTGCTTTGCTGTTCACAACAATAAATCTATTTTTGGCGGCGACCTAACTTGGTTGAAGCTGGTTTGAGCTTACTCTAGTGTAGCTCTGCCACCTTCTAGCTCTGCCCTGAATGCAGTTGGCTTTGGATACCAAATAAATGTAGACTACCAGAATGAAGCCAAGCAGTGCACGAAGTTACGAACTGTTTCAGTTTACTAGTCTACCTACCCGTAGCCACTTTCTTACTTTCATTACTCAGCAGGTTTCAATTGGTTGGCTGGACTTCTTGCTTGGTCCGTCGTGCCTTGTTCTTGCTGCGACATCCAGCTAGTTTGAGTCCAAGTCTGTTTGGCTAGCTAGATAGCACAGTCGATCAGTGCCGCTACTAGGCTGTCACTGGTCAGCAGAGCTTCCAATCAGGACGATGAGTGAATAAATTCGTGAATTGGAGGCCCTTGGCTCCAGGTACCAGCCAGCCAGAAGCAGGCTTGGCTACATGTACCAGTTCCGGCCGCTGGTGAGAGGCCGCCATCACTGAAGTGAAGTCGTGGCCATGTGCGCCACCGGGGGGCTGTAATTGCGCTTTCCTCCCTTAAAAAAGGTGGCATGTTTGTTGTTCGTTGTATGGTACCGTACCGGTTCTTCTTCCCGTAGTGATTGGCTATTGGCTGCACTCACAAAGGGAAAAACGGCCCAGCCAGATCATAGTCTACATGTAGCTATTGATATAGATTTAACATAGACTACATACCGGTAGTGGACACCTGACTTTTGCATTCTGTCTTGCAATAAGAAAGTAGCTCTAGTAACAGTCCATATGACTTTAGTGCTTGCAGAGTGTTTTCAAGCATGCGTGCATGCACCATCATAGTGAGAAATGAGCATGGGCAGCCTGTGGCAGTTTGAAACCAGCAGCCAGCATTGCTGACCACTGCTTGCGCATCCCCCCTAAATACGTCACCACAGAAGACTGATCCCAGATCTTGGGAAATCTGTTCTTCTTCTGAAAGGCCTTCCGGCAAACTTTCTAGCCAGTACTTGCGCACAGCAAAGCCAACTCAAAAGATATCCCCACTGCTGCCGCAAACTTTAACTAGGACCATTCAAGTTATCCGCACTGCAAAGGAAAGGCATTCCACAGCATGAGAAGGTATTCAAAAGGCCAATGGCCATTGCTCGCTGAATGCCAGATAAGGCAACCACATGTTGTTGAAACACCCATAATGAAGCATGGCGCAGCAGGAAGTAATTGACTTGGTGGCAGAAGAAGATCCGCCACCCATGAGGGTGTCCTTTGAGGTACCTGGCAAGCCCATGGCAGAAAAGAGGATGCGCATGGGCAAGTATGGACTGTACCATCCAGGAAGCAAAGAGAAGGAAGCATTTAGACAAGCAGTGCAAGACTTGGTTCCAGCTACAGCCAGTGGAGTGCTTTTCCCAACCAGTGTACCAGTTACCGTGGAGGTTCATTTTTGGATGAGGAGACCGAACACCGACTTCCGTGGCAGCAGGAGATTGATGGGCATTCTCAAGAATTCAGTTGCCTTTGTGAGACCGATTGTTCCTGACATTGACAATCTGCTCAAGTTCGTTTTGGACGGAATGAATCGCTTGGTCTACCATGATGACAGCCAGGTCGTGAAATTGCTGGTGCACAAGCTACTGGATAATGAGGGTTCCTGTGAGGGTAGGACTCAGGTGCAAGTGTATCCTTATGGAATGCCCTAGCGGACTGCTGAAACTGACAAAGTCGGCGCAGCAATAGACGCCGACTTTGTTTCAGCTGTCCGCTAGGGCGGCGTATTGAAAATGGACCCCCCAAAGTACCCAATTCAGTCTCAATTTGGGCATCCACCAAGCACATCTTTAAAGCCTAAAACTAGTTCAATTTTATGTATTTCATTCCCAATACTTACTTTGTAGTGGGTCCGCAACAGGGCTCTGGAATGGGAGCTGGTGTCATGGTGGTTGGTAGCGGCGGAATCAAAACATCTATTAAAAACCAACATATGTTGTATAAGATGGGGCATTAAGGGTTTTTTTACTCTTTATATCCAATCTGGTACTCAAGGCGAACACCAAAAAAACTTTTTAAAAGTGCAAAAAAAGAGCAAAAAAAGTGCAGAATTGAACCCCTTTACCTCTTACCGCCATGGGAAAAGGACTCACATGGGCCCAGAATTGACCAAATGGACCCAAAAGCCCTCAAAAGATCCAAAATTCGCCACAGCAGCAGATCCACCGCCAAACGGGCGCCATCACAGAGGGTACTACTACACCACCAAGTCCAATGCAAACCAATGACATGCCATACCACCTTGCTAGTAATAGGTACTACTATTGCAACGGATTATGGCTAAGGGTGTTGGTTGCTCTTATGCAGCAGCCCAGCCCACTGTTGTCAACATTCCATTTTTGCAAGTACAATTTGTACCGAGCTCTACTCGACCCAGTACATTCGCCTGTACGATCTCTGGTACTCGGCCGATAAGAACAACAGCCATCGTCCAGACCATTCTTCTACTTTCATTCTCATTTCCTTCTACCAACCACCATAGCCCCACAAGAATCCCAAAAATTCAGAGATACCATGGGCCTTACTAGTCCCGTCATCCATCATTATGGCATTTCCGTCTCCAACAGCCACAAGAGATTCAGCAGGGCCAAGAAGGACAAATCATTCCCCTTTGAATCCAACAGAATTACCCTTCCAGACAAACAGAAGAAAGAATGGAACCGACTCCTGACTGCATGTGCCAGCCATGCCATGCAATTCTACTGTAGAGGTGACTCAAGTGGGGAAACTGTGGCACGGATCATCAAGGCTCCATGCTATCAAAATTACAACCCAGCTGCTTTGAGTCGCCCTGCTACTGACATGTATTTTGGAATGGATATTAAGGCAACAATCAACAAGGAAGCTTCCGAAGCAACAGCAACAATTTTACGTACAGCATATGCTATGGGTAGTGGCTCCATGTCACTTGGCTATGATCAGAGGGGATTCAAAATTTACCCTTGGTCGGAACCATTTGCAGCCTTGGTTGCTTTTGCCAATGATCAGATTTTGGAAACTCATCCAGAATGGAATCAAAAGGAGTATCGATTCAACCATGTGAGCTGCAAAATCTACCACAAGTTTGAGAACTCTCAGGGTCAGTGCCAGGCAAAGCGGATCAGGCAGCATCGAGACTTGGAGTTTAGCAACTTTAAGCCTAAAGTAAACAATTCGCAATTACCCGGCTCACCTGTCATTATTGGTACCGTAGGAGACAGGAAATTCCTGGGATTCCGTAAGTACCGATCCATCTGGGGTACAAAGAAAAACAGAAAGGGAGAGAAGGTAGAGGGCTGGGTTGAGCGGGAGATTCCTTCAAGCCGATTCTTTATTGAGCAGAAAAATGGTTCTTGCTTTCTACTGCATCCACATGATGAGTACTACAGGAGTCACCAGAAAACCTTCTGGAAGCATGAATCCTGGATGCAAGATCCAAATAGTGTTTGTATCTCATTTATGCTACGGTTGTTCAAAGACAGCTAAATTGAATGAACAATCAGACAAGCTAGCCACCCCTAGCAATCCTTCCGGTAAGGATTTACTCTTTGATGCAGCTCACCAAAACTTGGACCCAGCAACATTCGAACGTAAGTGGGGTGACATTATCAATCATACTCAGAACCGAATGAAGATTTACAACGTAAAGTTTTAGTTTCATTCAAATTACTACTAAACTACTTAGCTAGATGGAAATGCATCATCAGCATAGCTGTGACCAGCTGGGAGTGGATTCCTTGGCTGTCCATCGTACTCCCTCCATGGAATAGGGTGAAGGGTGCCATATTGTGGTGGTACAGGGGGGATTGCCTGTCCCGCTGGAACAAACCGGTTTGTGTATTCCCATTGCTGTTGTTTCTTTTGTTGTCTCCTGCTGTGATCTTCCATTCTCTTCTTCTCCGCCGCTAGTTCCCGCCGGACTGTACTCTCTCGCATAGATTGTTGGAAGGCTGCCTGTGCAACTGCATTATTGTTGATTGCTGATTGGAAAATGGTATCAAAGGTTCCAACAGGGGGAACACTCTTCTGGCCGCATGCACTTACATCCCTTCCATGACTAGCTTGAGTTGTCCCTGTGCTCCCATGGGTGCATATTGTGGCAACTGAACCAGGGGTTTCAGTCGTTCGTCCGACTTCAACTTCAGTCATAGCAGCTTCGATCTCCCCTTCTTCGAATAAGTCTAACAAAGAATCGAAATCATCTGTAGCTGTTGCCTCTCCTCCCCCATCAAATCTATCCAAACCTGATCGGTCCAGCAAGGAATCGTCATCATCTGTGGCAACATCGTCGAGGCCATCAGTACTGGGATTTGTGGTTGTCGATTTATTGTTCGTGGTGACTGCCAGAGAAGCAGAATTGCTGGTTGCAGTTGTTCTTTTGTTGTTCAACTTGTTATTTCGTTTGCTTTTGGGTCTGCCCCTTGGCTTCTTACCCAGCTTCTCCAGTTCCGCCTTGAATGCTTTGTTGACTTGCTTGATTGGTGGCTTGCCAGTCTTTGGGCTGATTGGGATGGCATCATAAGTTAATGTGCACACTGCCAGAGCCTGATCTTCAGTCATTCCGTCTGCAAGATGATGCTCCATTAATCGGAACATACCACTGCATTGGGTAAACCATTGAGATCTCGACCGGCACTTCTTGTTGTTGGGACCCACAAAATCCTGCCGCCACTCTGACCCACACTCGTTCTCTAACTGGCGAAAGTTTGTTTGATGGGCATAGTAGTTCCAGTGGTCTCGAAAAGATTTGCAATGATTGTCGTCAAAGAGTACCAGCTGGGATTTGCTGTTCCTAGAAGATGAATCACCAGCTGCACATTGCTTGAGATGCTGGGAAATAGACTCGTGTTGTCTTATTGGTGGACGCCGTTTCCTGGCGGTGATTCCGTCGGCAAGAGTACTGCTGGGTGAATCACTGGGATTGCTTCTCTTGTTGATAGTGGCAGCCGGTGATGGTGTGACGGGATTGGTACCGGTTGCATCCACAGAAGTGGCACCACAACCATGATAGCTGGTAGATTGCTGAAATTTCCGCATCTCAGCTAAAGTAGCCTGATGCTGCTGTTGCATATGCATGAGTGGACGACTGATATGCTTAATCAACATTCGTTCCATTCTCGATTCATTCTGTTGTGGAGTACCATTGAATACCATGTCTATGTTTTCATGTTCTCTCATGCGGTTTAGAATCGACTGTTGCAGCTGGTAGAATGATGGCAGCTTAAAGGCGGCATGATTGAATAGCACAGCAAATCTGTCCGTACAATACCTTTCCAGAATGCATCTTGTGTCTGGCAGAAGCTTGAATGACCTCGGGTGCAGCTCTGGAGTAGCCAGCATCACAATGCAGCTCTGAACATCCACATCATCGAAGTCAGCATTCCTCGTTTCGTGTATAGCCGCTTGGTTGTCCTCTCATTATATGTTGTAGTGGAATCAAATTCACCGCAGACTTTGCCTACCAGTCCTCAATCTCTGGAACCAGAGCTGACCGAACCTCATCGACCCATTTCTGTTCTTGTACTGTCAGCTGGAAGGGGGTGGATTGATAGTGCTGTGGATGGCTGTGGTCACCACCGGCTCGTTGTACAATACCAGCTGTGGGAGGATTGTTGGCATAGCTGCGCTGGTGTACCGTTTGTTCCTTTCCCTTATGTCCCGTCATTCGGCATTGGACCGGCTCAGGAAGACCCAGAGTATCCATTTCCTGGATTGCCTGGAATCGTGGCTGATGGGTAACTTTTGCACAAACAACATCGTGTTCCTCATAGAAGCATTGGAAGACAGTGGCAATCTGCCGTGAGTCAACAGATTTGTCTGGATTCTCTGAAGAAGGGAAGGTAGGCAGCTTGAAAATGTCTGCGTAGTGGTTACCCGCTAGGTCAGGGAAGCTTCTCTTCTGCACTACCAATTGCCATAGAATCAAAAGACCATGCCACGAGCTCGAATCCCTTAATGGATCTTTGTGGGGAATGGCAACTGTATATTCCAACCAGCCAACCTTGTTGTGTTTGGCTTTGTTCGTTACGATCTGAGTTGCTCCAGTACCAGACAAACCAATGGCATCAAGACAGTATGAGAACGTTGGATCATTCTCTGTCCAACAAACTCCTCACTTCTTCTGGTAGTCACACTCATAGTATGATAAAAACAGAGGAAATAGATCAAATTGATTGTTTGGAGTTTGGAAACAGGGCCGTTGGCTTTGGGCTTTAGTGCCGATCGAGTCATTTCCCTCAGCTGCTCTGGGGCAATAAGCTGATTGAGATCCGCTTGAATATCCTCACAGTTATCTAACACTTTCGAGGCGGCTTGTTGTTTGACGGTTTTACAGGAGTTTTTGATCGACAAAAACTCTCCTATCTTGATTTCTCTTAATACAGCAGGAAGATTGGCAAGCTCTAGTCGGCAGTAGTGCTCACAGCGAATGTGGGTGTTGAGAAATGTTTTGGCTTTCGTCATGACAGATTTGCAGCCATCACACTCATCAGCAAGGTAATGGAAGAACTCAACGCACTCAGATGCATTATATAAAGTGTGATTTTCAACGTCATCCTTCTTGCGAGTGTCATACAACCCCAAGCCTAACTTTGGCTTCCATAGAGGTATCACAGTTGATTGGCCCAGTTTCTTGCTTTTGAAGTCAGCCCACCGTGACCAGATGCAACCAAAGCCTTTCTCGGTAGATATGGTGCAAATATCCGTCTGTTTCATACCATACAACTCTGTCATTGTAGGCTTCTCCAAGGCAGCTTTCTTCGTGTGTCTTTGCTTCTTGGTAGAGGCTGCTTTCTTCTTAGTAGAGTCTGCTACTACCGGTGAGGGAGGAATCGGCTTGGTCGCCTCATCTTCCACCGAGATTGGCTCGCCATCATCATTGACAAGAATTGGTGGAATATCAATTTCATGTTCATGAGCAGCAGCAGCGGATTCTAAAGCACTTGCCGACATGGCTGTTGGAAATGGTTGTTGCAGGTCCAAATGGCAAGGTGATGAACAATGAGATGGTGCATACAAACATGGCAGCTAGCACTTGGTGGTAGACACCGCCATCACCACAACAACACCAGCAACAACAACTAAGCAAAGGCCTAATGCACCAGCGGGGGATTTGAAATCTAATGTTAGGGGGGCCACCATACTCTGAGAGCCAGGCAGGCCTGTAAAGGAGCCCATCCGCCACTAGGGAGTCCATCCACCATTAGGGACTGATGTCTGTCCACTTTATATTGTAGCAGGCCAGGCAGCGGAAATGTTTGCCTCCAGAGAGATCAGTTCTACAGCAGATTCAGTACCACCGCAGGGTTAGAGTTAGCGCAGATGTTATCCAGGGACAGAGAAAGGGGCGGTACATGATGTCGCTTTGTAAAGTATTCTCTCCCTTGCAACCACTACCCGTTCAGATTGTTCACTGTATTCTGTACTCGAGTACTCAGTATTCACAATTCACAAGCTTGTTTTAAAATTGGATCTTCCGTTCTCGGTAAGGAAGAGGGGGGCTTTGTTGGGAAGGCCAGTGCGTGTATGGTACAACTTCCAGAAGCTCCAAAATGAGAGGTCTGTGGTGGTACTGGTACCGGTACCACTTTCATGTAACGATGCTCCAATACGGTATCTACTCTATAACTGCAAAGATTTGATTGATCTAAAAGACCAACGCAAATGGCCTGTTTCATGATCTTCTTATTTCCATTTTCTCCCCCACCTTCTTTTCTTGATGCCGATGGAATATTTGAGGAGGAGTCATCCGTGTGCGTACATGTAAAGCGTAAAGTTAGAAGGATCCCATCATCGCATGGCTGCTGCTGCCTCGGCGATTGGAGGCAGAGCTCTGGTTCTTTGAGCCGATGAGCATCAGCTATAGAAGATCCGATGCAACTTGAAAGCAAAAGATACAGCTAGCTAAACAGCACCACCATGGCGACGGCTCCTGCTACCTCCGACCAACTGCAGGCAATGCGATGGCAAGAGATTACGTCGTACAAAACCTTTGACTACGTTCAGCTGTCCGCTTCCGCCAATGCATCTTTGCCGTTGAATTCTGGAGATCAGACGGTTGCATCCGATGCCTCGGGGCTCCAAGTACCAGTGCAGCCGCCTTGCCTCCCAATGATCTCTCCTCAATGGAGACAAGTCATCTGCGAATGGGCCTACAAACGTAAGTGGTGGTGGTCGTTCCGTGGGATACCCCTGCCCTGGTTACATGCAGTGGATCTTTTACAACTGACACATCTTTCCTCTACAATGCATCCAACGCCTCCACGCCTCGACACCGTAGTGGTGGATCACTTTGATTGTCCTCGAGAAGTGGTGGGTGTTGCTATGAACTTTGTGGATCGATATCTCTGCAATGTATCCCTGCGCCACGACAGCCAAAGCCTGAGCAAACGAGAGTTCAAACTGCTCTGTCTGGCGTGTCTTTTCTTGGCTTTCAAGCTGGAAAAGCCCAACCTGATATCCTTGGATGCCCTCTTGACTCTGAGCCGTGATCTCTTTACACGAGCTCAGCTGGTGGCCATGGAACGCTCCGTCCTGAAAGAACTTCGGTGGCGACTCCATCCACCTACGGCCTTTAGCTTTCTAGAATACTACGCCCTTCAGTTGCGAACCCCTGCCTCCTCCACAACGGCCAATGCGGACTATTGTGAAGAGATCCTGGACACGGCCCGGTTTCTAGTGGAACTCTCCGTCATGGATTATCACTTTGTCAGCCAACGACCGTCCCATGTCGCCATTGGTGCTCTACTCAATGCCTTGGATGACAACCCGACCATCCGTTTGAAGGTCGATACCTACGCCATGTCACACCTGCTCTCGTTAGTTTCTCCCGTGGAAGTTCCAGAGATACTACGCTGCAAGACGCGTCTCCGAGCCATTCATGTGCAAGTCACAGACCCACAACCGTGCTTACCCACGGAGCAGCAGCACCCACAAACCTTTTTGCCCGCCCAGTGCCCACAACCATGGTTGCCATCCCACCATGCCCCCTCCGAGCAGCCCCCACAACCATGGTTGCCATCCAACCATGCCCCCAGCATCATTGCGCAGCACCCGTCCCAAACAGCCAATGTCCCCACGGAGCAGCATCCACAATCTCCTACCAGCGACGACGGTCCACAACCGCCGCCATCCTCATCCGTGCATCACGAGATTGTCTCTCCCGTCCATGTTTTGTTCCAATACACGTTGGATTCCTTCTACAAGTAGCTTGTTGTGTGTGGAAGCTGGTTTTGGCTGGTGTGGGCCGACTTTTTGAATCAGATTGTGTGACATTGAGCATGTCAGTCGCTCCTGCCTGTATCGTACCGGGAGAAATGTTGGCTAGCTACAAGTAAAGCATCCTCTAAAGTTTTGTTCAGTTTTGAAATCCAAGCTCGTGTTGTGTCAGTACGTACTGGAACCCAGCAGTCCAGTTATCTCTCGGTGGCCAGGAAGACAGCAAAGGCTCCTTGCGACAGTGGCATCCATCCATAGTACAGTACTGGATGGCCAGCCATCGTGTATCTCCATCGCATGGGCCCAATGTAGCCAGCTGGAATGCAATCGCGGGTGTGTCCACCAAGAGCCAAACAAAGCCAAAACTATGCATGCTAGTAGTACGACCTCCACGAAACGGCAGGTTGCTTGGTTGCTGGCTGGGAGTTACATAGTTAGTTGTGAACCCGGTGGGAGTACGGTACTATTAGCTATTTCTGACGCACAATCCACAAGCAACGTAGGAGCACTGAAACCAGGAGGAGCCACAGTCGAGTCCAGTCTCTCTGGCTGGCTGGCCGACCAGCAGACGCCTTGTCAGTGATATCCGTCTGTCTATTACTGTAGTGTAGGCATGCATCGCATGGGCCCAAGGGAGCCAGCTGGAACAGCCCACGATCGATGCATGGGGGCGGCTGGTTCTGCCGGCAAAAAACAAAACAAAAAAGATGAAGAAACCTGTTGACACTTTGTCAAGTCGAGTCAGCCAACAGCCAGAAGCAATACGAAAAGGCAGGTTGCTTGGTTGCGCTGAGACTTTAAATAGTTCTGAACCTGTTTGTTGTATGGTATTATTTCTGACAATCCATCCATCCACCATGAGCCAACGCGGTAATGTCATGATGGTATTTTATTTTACATATATAAATTTCAATGGCTATGCTTTTGCTCCCTTGTTCTTGTGTTTCCTCGTGTTCTTGTTCCTTGTTGTCGTTGGTTTTGTTTTGGTATTTCCTCATTTGTTTGTTTTGGTTTATTCCTTGTTTGGTGTGTGGTGACGCTCGTGTTGTTAGATTTATTTATGTAATTTGATGATCATCATCGGCTTGTTGTCCCGGTGCCAAGTTGGCATTGCCATTGGCAACAATATGGGAATCTCCCGGGAACTGCTCTCTGTTTTTACCCAGTAATTCTCCCCGGTACATGTATAGAACCCCCGCGAATGCTACCGCGGCAAAGACGACAAAGGCAATGGCACCCCCACTGGCTTTTTCTTTTGATTCTTCCTCCTTTGGTTTTTCTTGTTGCTGCTGCTGCTGTTCGTTTATTTCTCCCGAGTCTTCATGAATTTCCTCCGTGCTGTTGTTGCTGTTGTTGCTTGGTCCGCTTGCTTCTTGAGTTGTCGATTCTTCCCCCTCCTTCGCCGCTTCCTCAGTAGTAGATTGTTCTTCAGTAGTACTTGATTCTTCTTCAGTAGCGCTTGGTTCTTCTTCAGTAGGTGTTGATTCTGTGGGAGTACTTGATTCTTCCTCAGTATTAGTAGTTGTTGTTGTCGATTGATCGGTAGTTTCTTCATTATCATTATTGAGTGAATCCAAATGCTCTTGACAATTGAGAGGTCCCATGCGCTTGGCCATGGCACATTCGTTGTTCATGCATTCTTTATGACTATTGACGGTTTCTTGTCCATGTCCATTTTCACACAAGTATTCCATGTAACAGCGAATGGCTTTGAGACGGTATGTGCCTCCACAGCGTTGGGTCAAATGCGCGGGGGTTACCGACTCGTCGGGACAATGTTCCAACAGTTTTTCCGGCACACAGACCGCACTCGGATTCTCATTGGTCAGCAATCGGTGGATATCAGTAGCAGTAGATGAAGTAGATGTAGATGTGATTCTGGCAGTCACTACCACTGCAGACAGTGCTGCCAATAGCAAACTCGTCAAGAGCGTCCTCGTCTTCATGGTCATCATTATCTATCAATCAATCCAACAACTGACTTGAGGATAATGAATGAGAAACAAAAAGACTGGAGAGAGGATATAAAATGCCTCTGGCGATCGATGGAGGATGGATGCACCTGAAAATGGTTAGATGTTGTTCGATAGACAGAAGCACCCTCTCTTTCAATCAGAACCGCACTGCAAGTTTGCAGTACCACAGTCAGGGGTATCTGGTCATTGGTACAAACATTAATGACCCTGATCGTGAACACAATGACGCACTCTCACATTATATTTTCAAAATGACACCAATGACACTTCTCGAGCGGTCCGAACGTTCGAACGGCAAGAAGATCGCTCATCAACAAACCCACAACAGGATCTCCCTCTTCGGTACAGCACACCCAAGTCAAAGATAATCATCGCATTACAACACCATGGTCCGTCCTTCTTTCTTTTCGGGTGGAGGCAATGCTCCTGTCAGTACTAGTAGTAGTAGCAAAGGACACGCGAGAGATTTTCCAGGCAAGCTCTGTTGTCGCAAGATTTCCGCTGTCATTAACAGTCCAACGTTGTCTCGAAAGAACCGATGGCTGCTTTTGGTGGTGTCCGTATTGGCGCTCATGGGAGTGGCAGTCATGATTTCCTCCAACTCCAACAACAATAAGACTACCAAGAGTTCCACATCCACTATCAGGGACAATTCACAAGTCAAAATGAAACAGAAATCATCAACAACATCTACTTCAACTGAAACAGCCAAAGGCAAGACAAGTACAAGTACAACTACTGGTCAAGAAAAGTCAGGAACTTCCATTTCAGCCAATCAAAAGCAAAAGCAACCACAACCAACTGATACCCCTAAAAAGAGCGCTTCATCTACATCTACAAGTTCTAGTTCTGATGGCAATGCAGGTACCCCTAAAGCGAGCACTTCGTCATCTACCAAAGCAACCTCTACCAAGTCTACCTCTACAAGTACATCCACATCAACAACTACAAGTAGTGCTAGTAGTGGCAATAACAATATTATTGCCATTGATATGGAGTCTACCCATGCCAAGGATATTGCGTCCATTCTCCACGATCCCAATACTTCCCAAATCTCCGTCACGCTCACATCCACAGCCGCCTGCAAACGACCTTATTTCATGGCACGACTTTCGGGACCCGCGCTCATTCGATTGCCACAATTTTCACTCCAACAATTTACCAATACATGGACGTCTACCTATCAGGTTCCCAATGCGGCCACTTATTTTCTAGAAATACTACTCGTTCATTGTACCAATCCGTACTATCAATTGCATCAACACGAAAATCCCATTCACAAGGAACAACTCCATCAAGATTGGCTTTCGACCAAACCCGATCTGGAAGATTATCTCAAACGGGATAAAACGGCCAAACTCTGTGTGACAACACCGCTCCAATACAATCGCATTACGCAAAAGGGTGTTTCCATTGCCATTTCCAAATTTTCCACGGCACCCATTGCCATTCCCAGTAGTATTCACCCCCCCGCTCCATGGATGGGATTCTGGTATTCTCAAAATGATCAATACAATAATGCGGTGTATACACGACAACAAGCATCGGACACGGGACAGTGTCCGGACGATGATTGTTCCGTCGAACGATTTACACCCTACATCTTTCAATGGAATACCGACAAACCTCTGTCGCTTGACACATTAAAACAAGACCACGCCGATATCATTTGTATTTTGGGAGATAGTCATGCGAGAGCACTCGAATCGACGGCACGATCGTTGGGATTTACGATTGAAGATACCAATGTCATGGTCCGCAATGCATGGATTACGTTCCCGGAAGAAGTTACCAAGACGTATGTCAGCGATCTCGTGGACAATTTCAAATGCACTCATATTGTCGTGGCGGTTGGATTGGGACCGGCGCATTCGCTGCCACCTACTTCTACCAAGACAACCACAACCAAATTCAATGACAATCGTCCGTATCCACTGCATGTGTATTATCGACAAGTCAAGGAATTGTTGCAAACACTGGTGCATCACCCAAAAGTTCGCGACGATGACATTGGCGTCTATATCAAAACGGTCGATTCCCAACCCCTGCGGGCATCCACCACGGCGTGTCCACTCTTGAATACAGATTGGGGCACGCCGACCGTGCTCGATGCCTACAATACCATTTTACGACGACTCTCCAACGAACTTGATGTCCCATTGGTCGATACCGAAACCGTCATTGCCAGTCATGTTTGGGATGCTGCCGATGATTGGTATCATGTAAATGCCGCCACCAATGAAGCCATGACGTTGTTTTTGATTGCCATGGTCTTGCGGCCGCATGTGTGATTATTGAGAAAACTGCGAACTGAATCTGAACAACTGAAGGATGAAAACTGAAACTTGAATGAAGGAATCGAATCAGTCAACAACAACAACCAAGCAACGCAAGATGCTGGTGGTACGCAATATCCATAATCAGTTTTGATAACCGGAACAATGGCGATCAAATCAGGCAGTTAGTTTTCTGGTACGAACGAACGAACCAGGGAATCGAATCATCGTTCAACGCCGGGAAAAAGACGTGTCGGACCACCACCCTGTTTGTGTGCCCAGAAATCCCAAGGATGGACTGACTTGACTCCCCACAGCATCTATTCTATTTATTCCATTCCAGCAAGCCGACTCTCCATTAGCTTACGTTGGGCAATAAATAAATGCACTACAATAAAAAGTCGAAGTAGACTAGCTTACCTTTGGGTAGTTTCTTTTAAAAAATGTACTAGCTATAGTAGGCTTCCTCAGGGCTCGGCCGGATCAAAGAGCAAAAGTCATGCAAGAAAGCTGTATGGCTTGACTCGACTCTGCTTGCTGAAAGGTATGTAGATAATTACGCTACTCTAAACCCCCATGCAATGTGAGCATCGCTCCTCTAGCTAGCTAGCTACCCAGCTGGGCGCTCGACCTGACCTGACCTGACCTGTAAAGGCTACTGGTACCGTAGCCTGTCTTCGTGGCCAAGCAGAACGGCTAGAAAGGTAGATGGAGTATATTTGGGGTTAAAGTTACTAATTACTTTACACTCTTGAATGAAGAACTTTTGTTTGCCTCATCTACCGGATTCTCAAAGTTGTCGTCGAACTTCCGCTCGGACTTCTGCAAACCAGCCGGACAAATTTTAAATAAAAGGCAAAGAACGTGACCTCTTCTGTTGTGAATGGGATGTCATCACACTAGTGACCCACAATCATGAGTGGGACCCAGTCCAGTCCTGCAAGCAGGCGCAGTCATTGGTTGAGAAGAGAGCCCGACAGGCCCAAACAAGACTAAGGAAAGACAGATTCCAGGTAGAATAAACTCCAAGCATCATAATCTTTATCTTTACATTCCAACAGGTTATGATAGCCCAATTTTAGCGAGGCAGAGAGGAACATCGCCTACTCACCACTGCAGCATTGGCGTCGAAGCCAAACTGCTGATCGACAATGATCAACCTCTTCGGCTCAGCCGCCAAGAGTGTACAGACGTGGGCGAGTCGATCTCGAAGACCCTCAACCTCATCGGCACCACCAGTCGGTGAGCCACCTTTACCACCACTTCCTCCCCGACGACGCACAGCATCACCGGTCATAGTGGAAGATGCATCTGAAGAGGACTCATCCTCCAATGGCAACCTACCGTCATTGGTCACACGCGAAGTCTACTACAGCAGCAGCGAAGAGTCTAACGAAGAGCCCCTACACACTTCTCACGCGTCTTTCATAGACCCACTCCAGCAAGTGACACCTCCCCGGAGAGTCACCCAATCCCCAATCTTCCGCAACGCGGACCCACCACTTCTCCCTGGCTATGAACCGCCAACACCCCGCTCCCACCTGAGTTCTGGGGTGCCATCGGCGATACGTACCCAAGTTAATAACATGATGACCATCCTGGACAGTCAGACGACGTCGCGGAAATCCACACCGATTGTCAGTGAATGGCAGAGCCAGCCCTCCACCAACTCGTCACTCAGTGACTCTTTCCAAACTGGAGTTGAGGGATCGGCTACTGGGCCATCTATTTTGTTCTCTCGCGGCAGTCGCAGCTCGTCACGGGCAGCCAAACGGACCACCTTTGGCGACGGATTCGACGGAATTCCAGTTGTGCCAGCAGTCAGCTTCATGAGCGCCACAGGACCCATTGTGATCGTCCGTGGGATCCCCCCATGTGGCTATAGCAGCCAATTCCTTACCACCATTGTCGACAACCGAGAGCTTTATGGGGGGGTCAACCGTACAACAAACCCCGTCGACTGCAACAATGATGCTTATCTCCAAAAGCTTAAGAGCAAACAGCTCCTCATCCGCCAGGAGTCCACCGGTCATGTCATACAGGTCTTCCCACTGCGTATTCTTGGTCATGACAGCATTGACAACTACCAAACCTGGCAGCTCACATCTCGCTGGCACCCTTACCTTCGAGGCTACTTTGATCGCCAAGACAGGAGCATGGCGACATCCGGCAAGACATACTATGTTGTGGATGGGTGGTACGACGGACTTCCCTGCCAGCGAATCGTTCAGTCCTTTGCCGAGGGATGGGCGATGCAGGCAGATGTGACCAACAATGGCGTTAGCGATGCACCTACCGGTTTCAAGGAACTGGAAGGAGCCCAAGCGTACCTGCTCCAGATACAGACAAGTCGGCCAGTTGACCCCCGGAACAGAATTCCTCCACAATGGGTCATAAACGCAGGAATACTTGGCACTGAAGACCCACATTTTGCCTGTTCAGAACACTTTGGACACTCATCTGCAGGGCGATCCAACGCCTCTGCTGGAGTAGATGTACCGGTCCCAACACCACTAAGTACTCGAACCATACCAACAGCACCAAGAGACCCAGCGAGGAATCCCAACGTCGCTGAAACGCCTCCAGCAACACCGATCCGCCGTGGCTCACGTACACCCAGTGAAATGGTAGAAGTGACCACTGCTGACGGCCAGAGGTTTACTGTCCCTGCGTCATCCATTAATCGATCCGTTGGCACATTCAGTCGCTCGCGAGACAATGCGTCGGTGACGAGCCTTGACAGTCTCTGGATGAGTCACATAGAGTCCCAGCATCACCTCAAGGACGCCCTTGGAGCTATCGTTCAAGGCAACCGCTTCACACATGACGACCAACTTCGTGCATCCACGGAACTCCCACAACTTCCAACGGCACCCACCTCAACAGCTTTATACCAGTGGAAATGTGGAGTGGAGAATGCTCTTACCGGTGACCACTGGGAAGCCGATGACCAGGAAATCTGGGAATATTCAGGCACTACCGACAACAACCGTGACATTTCCAAGGTCATGGGCCGACTTCTCGTGAAGGCCACCAAGCACAATCGCACCGTCACGGATCTTATCCAACGTGAACAAGGACTCAAGCGCCGTGGCCCAGAACTGTTGCAGGCCATCCTCGACACGTTCCTTCCCATCACCAGTGACCGCATGGACGATCGGTTTGCCGATGTGAGTACTATTGTACAAGAACAACGCGAATATTGTACGTCATTCCTTCTTCGGATGCGGTTCTTCAGCCGTCAATACGGTGCCGCTAGTGGCGTCACACTCCCAGACAATGTCCTTCGTGGCTGGTTTATCTCCGGCATCGTCCGTCACGGACCTTATCGGTCCATCCTCGGCAAAAGCTATACCCGCCTCATCCGGCCAGGTGGGAAACTGAATGGCATCCCCACTATCGAGTGTACACTTGACCAACTGGCTGAACACTTCGACAACATTCTTACCGGTGCCGAGAACAACAAGTACTACAGTGACAGCAAGCTCCTTGCTGGTGAAAGCCCTATTCGCGCTTACTCCACTCGCGGTAAGGCCCACAAGGTCGGCTCAGCTTCTTCTGACTCTCCTTCCGAGTCACGGGGGGTAGCCAACCAATCTTCGCTCGACCTCACTGACCCCATGGCCCTCGTACACGCACTTCAGCCCTTCGAAGACGTACACGTATCCAAAGAACAGGCCCAGAATGTCATGTACCATTATGCATGCCCGTGGTGTGTCATTGCCAGGAACAAGAACACCGATCGTCACCACATGTCCAACTGTGAACACTGCATTCCCGGTTACAAGATAGAGTTCGACGGCGCCGCATACAAGGAAGGCAAGAACAACCGACGTAGACCACGCAACAACAATGATGCTGGCACAGCGCGAGCAGCCAACCGTGGCAATAGACGAGCCTTCACCGTGTCTGATGATGAGGACAACAATGACGACGACGAGAGCGTCTCCAGTGGCTGTGAGTTAACGACCACGGACATGTCATCTACTGTAGCTTCGACCAACTCACCACCCACTTCTCTGTCTCACAGAACTGCGCCTAAGGCCAGGCTGGCCACTATTCCAGAAGAAGGGCCAATGAGCGAGGACGTGGAGGAAAGTGTGGAGTCGTTAGCAACAAGTAGTTACATGTTAAATAGTAGTCAACCCAATCAGCCACATCGCCTCGCATACAAATGCCACTATACGAATAAAGGGCCCCGACTCGAAGCTACGTCATCATTCCTAGCCATTAAACCACTCCCAAGACAGTTCGTGAACGACAACGCATACCACACCGGTGACGGCTCAACTGATCGATTAGCCTGCATTGATTCAGGTGCCACCGGAGATATGACGCCTTTTGGAGACGACTTCACGGCATACACATCACTAGAGGGACATTACATTCGAGTGGCAAATGGAGATCCCATCCCCATCGCTGGCTACGGCACGGTACAAATATGCATCGGAAACAAGGTCATACGTGAACAAAACTGGTGGCATGTACCCGACTTATCGACTCGACTGTTGTCAGTGAGGAAACATAGACGACGTGGACCAGGATGCAGCTTTCTTGCAGACCATACCGACTGTGTCCTCAGCTTTCCCACCTTCAGCCTACGGATTGATGACTCGGAAGAGTGCAGCCTCCCTTGCCTATCAGCAGTGAACGCAAAGAAGATACACTATGACGATCAAGAGTCATACCGGTATAAGAAGAAACTCGCGAAGGCTGGCACCGCTCTTCGTGTCCACCGGCACTTCGAACCAGCTCCGATTCGCAATCCACTGGAGCCCATAGACGAAGCTGAAATTGCTAAGCCACCCAGTCGTGAGGTACCGACTGCCTACACTCCTGAAAGTCATCTTGGAGAACAATCACGACGATTCACTGGACAGGAACTGCACTTACTATTCGGCAACCGCAAGCTCCGGGACTACAAAGCAATCACAGAGGTCGGCACTCATGGCAAATACTGTAATGCAAGTGAACCCATTCCCTCCGTAGGCGACTACAGCAACCTCCGTAGGGGGAAACGACAAAAGAAAGCGCAAGTTCCGACACCCGGTCGCACTCTCCACGCCGACCTGTGCTATGGAGATGGAGTATCTCCCGGTGGCTTTCGATACGGCCTGGCAGTGGTTGATGCAGGAACTCGGCAAAACTGGTTCTACGGATTACGTGACCTCGAAGCTACCTCTATTATTGATGCCCTCTGGTGCCTGTTTATCGATATGGGGGAACACAGCAACAACGTGAGACACTTTCATTGCGACTTCGATCAACGCTTTGTGGCTGGCAACGTACGCAAATTCCTCCGACGCAGAGGCATCAAGATATCTGCTTCACCACCCCATCGACACTCCCAGAATGGACTTGTTGAGAACCACTGGAACACCGCGGTCCGTATGGCCCGTGCATACTTACAGGAGGCCAATCTACCCAAATCCTTTTGGTTCTGGGCCGTTAGAGAAGCCTTCTTCCGAATGAATCTCCTACCTGTTGACATCAGTCCCCGCGGAGGTGACAAAGACGCAAAACAGATATTGAGTACTCCTTTTGAGCTGTTCTACAAACGGAAACCGGACTTACGTGTACTGTTCAAGTTCGGCAGTGTTGGCTTCTTCTATCGACCCGTGGATGGCAGTCGCTCACGAACCAAGTTTGAAGTCCAAACCTTCCCAGGAATTGCTTTAGGACGTAGCGACACCACCAATGGAATGATCTTCTGGTGCCCTGAAACCAAGCGCTTTTGCACAGCAGCTGACTACTACTTGGATGAGAGCCAGCATGTTCGTTGCTTCTTCCCAGAACTCATTAACAATGGGGGGTTCGAGCTACGTCTGTGCGAACATGGACTTCACGGAAAGGCCATTCGCCATCCACCAGGAAGCACCGTGACATTTCGACTGCCAGGGCCAACTCTGGAGTCGGACCGACCCCTGTACACCAGCGGTGAAGTGATCGAAGTTCCTGTTAAACGAGGAGCACAACAATACACAGTGAGACTGCAAGACGACACGGTTATTCTCCTGGATGCGACTGAACTGTGGGAACCAGATGACGCATTAGCTGGCCTTGAGCTGATCGGTGACCCAGACAACAGCGACCCAACTCGGCCAATTCGTCCTGCCTGGCTAATCCAACACTGCCACGTCCGATTCCGTCATGACGGTCAAATGTTGCGGGGCTACCTGGAGCATACTGACGGCTATGCTTGGTGCTTTCGACAACGGGATCGAGGGGGGCGCGTGATCACCGACATCCCAATCCCCGATCTGGACGTGTACTGGCGTCACTATTTAATGGAGGGTCTGCTCGAAATTGGATGGGAAAACTCTCAGCCGACAGTCCCTGTCTCTTCTGCCACGGCCTTGCATGTTTCAGCCAAAGGGCTGAAAGGGGGGAATCCACAATTCCTTTGGCGGGCGCTACAAGATCCCTCAAATCCGGACTACCAAATTTGGTTAGACTCATACCGCGAAGAATACGATGGAATCCGTCAACTGAACACTTACACCGTGATTGACGCAGACGAGGTCTCGAGACTGAATGTGAAACCGATCCCAACCATGAATATTCTTACCATCAAGACGGACTCGGATGGACTACCAGTCAGAGCCAAATCACGGACAGTCGTAATGGGAAACGAAGAAGAGCGGGTCTGGCAAAAGAATGAGCTCTATGCCCCCGTCATAATGAGACACAGCCAACGTGCCCTAGTCGCACTGGGTGTCTCGCAAGGCAGGAAAACAAAGCAATGTGACGCCAAGAATGCTTTCTGCCACCCATACTTGCCTGATGACGAAGTAGTCGTGGTGCTCCCACCGAAAGGATGCCCATTCTCCAAGCCCGGAGACTTCTGGAGACTGAACAAGACCCTGTATGGCCTTCGAAGAAGCCCAAGGCACTGGTACCAGACATTCCGAAAGGTGCTTGAAGGTATGGGGCTGAAACGATGCCCGAATGACCCAGCGTTGTTCACGGGAAAGTCACCATCCGGAGGAACAATTTATTTCGGAGCCTACGTGGACGATTGCCTGTACTGGGGCACTGATGACGAAACAGAAGAATGGTTTGAGAAGGAACTCGGCCAACAATTGCACATTGACTTTATGGGAGAACTCACGTGGTACTTGGGAGTCTACTATGAATGGGGACGCACAACTGATGGCCGTCTAACAGTGCATTTATCACAGGAAGGGTACATCCACAAATTGCTCGATCAACACAAGCTCCTAGAAGCCAACCCAGTTCGTACGCCGTATCGTTCGGGACTACCAATCGACAGAGTGCCTCATGACGGGGTCGACCTATCGCAAAAGAAGGAATTGGCGAAGGAATACTCATCTCTGGTAGGAGGACTCAACTGGGCCAGCCAAAACACTCGATTGGACGTGACTACCGCAACCAGCCTGCTATCGAGTCACCTCAAGAATCCGTCGGAAGGTCACCTGGAAGCAGCCAAACACGTACTGAAATACCTAAAAGGGACCGCCGATTGGGGCATCCAATACACCCAGCCATTGCCAAACCACGAAGGAGGCCTTGATCCTGCTGAATGCATGCGCGGTGAAGTATCATGGCCAGCTGACGGAGGACCAGTTCTTGGATGCTTCGACCGATTGGATGGATACACTGACAGCAATTGGGGACCTCAAGATGCATCGACGCCTCAGGAAGGCGAGATGCGACAAGAAGAAGAAGTGAGATCCATCCTTGGAGCTATTGTCGTGTATATGGGGGGTCCATTGGATTGGTCTGCTTGCCGCGAAAAGAAGACTAGCCGAAGTTCCTGTGAAGCTGAGATCAAAGGAATGGACGAAGGCTGCAAGATGATCGAAGGACTGAGAAACATCTTTGGCGACCTAGGAGCGAAGCATCTCGCCAAGCCGACGGCCCTTCTGTTCAACGACAATAAAGGCAGTGTACAATGGACAGCATCGGAAGCGATCACCAAGAAACTACGCCATCTCAACATACGGGAGGTCGCCTGTCGAGACGCCCAACGCAGTGGCAAGGTTAAGATCGGCCACATTCCTGGCAAGCTCAACGTCGCCGACATCTTCACCAAAGAGATCAAGGATGCTCTGCACTTTGAACTGGTCAGAGGATCGATAATGGCCAAACGACCGAAATCCCAATCCAATGAGAAAGTTGGCGATGACACATCCACTGATGACCTCGCGAACGTCATGGGGGGTGTTGTGAATGGGATGTCATCACACTAGTGACCCACAATCATGAGTGGGACCCAGTCCAGTCCTGCAAGCAGGCGCAGTCATTGGTTGAGAAGAGAGCCCGACAGGCCCAAACAAGACTAAGGAAAGACAGATTCCAGGTAGAATAAACTCCAAGCATCATAATCTTTATCTTTACATTCCAACATCTTCAATAAGAATAGGCCAAGCAAAGAGGGCGCAGCCACCATGTTTCGAGTGGAGTGAGTATGGTACTAGTACAGCCGTAGACTATGTCTAGAGTCTATTCTCTGGGTAACGCGACCGACACAACAGCCGTCGTTGGGTAAACGATAGTTGGGTTCTCCTGTTCTGCTGTTGCCACCAGTGTGCCGTGTACTGTGCCATGGATTCCAATCCCAGCGCACTACCCTATCAGCTTAGTGAAGCTGAGTGTGATGGGATGCTGACCAGTAGCACCAATCAACAACAACAGCAAGATGAAGAGTCAGTCACAGAACCACCCAGCTTCATCAATGTCCCAAGTCCCGAAGACATGAGCTGTGCTTCTTCTGTAACGACACGGCACTTCTATGATGCTGAGCTATTTGGCCCCAGCATGTACCCATCTGTTCAGAATCTACACGACAGCAGTGATGCAGAGGATCCCACATTTCAGCCAGTTGCACGGCAAACAAAGACAACCATGATCCAGCCTGCTTTACCACCACTTCAGGAGGAATTGTCACAAGACCCCAATGACAGCAAGTGTATCACTGCAAGCCACCAAAAACTTGATGAAAATCAAATCCTGAAGGAACAAGAAAAGGCTACCATGAAGGAGGAATCAAGGGAAGTCCCATCCATGGCAAGCTTGGAATCAAAAATAAACCAAAAAACCCAACTATACTCAGTTCGACAAATTTCCACTGAATCAAATGGAGACACTGGCATTGACTCAACCATTCAAAAGGAACACAGAGAGGATGAGAGGGCCAGAAATCAGAATGAAAGTGTCGATTCAACGTTCCATGGCAAGGGCAGGAGCAACCCGGCCATTTCGAAAATGCTGTCTCTAGTCAATGAGGGTGCACCGTCCTCACCACCACCAAAATTGATTCAAGAATTCCCAATGCCCATTGACCTGTCATCCCGCTCTCAAAGTGCGCCAGGGGCACACGCTGTCCAGACAATGCCATCCACCCAACAGCCAAATCGCGACAATCCAATCTCAGGACTAAGTGCTACTCTGGCCACAGAAAATCTGCAGCAACAGCAAAACATGAATTCGACCGTTGCTGATGAAGGAAGCACACAACCACCTGCACAAGAGTCACTGGCAGAGGCAAGACCCGTTGCTGCAACTGGGGATGACCTACCTGTTGCCAAAGCTGAAGGTGGCAATAGGAAGGGCCGACAGCAAAGCAACTGGCCTTTCTATCTCATGGGAGGCCTTTGCATCCTCTTGGTTGTGGCTGCTATCATTATTGGGGCTGTTTGTGGCACAGGGAACTGCAGCCAAAAGGTCTATGTGGATGGCAGCAGTACCATGGCGCCCACCACAACAAGAGATGCCGTTGAGGCACCCAAGATTGAAATTGCTCTGGCAGTCATTTTGGGAAAGGAATACTTCCATCATGTGGAAGGATCAGGAGAAGGAAATGATAATGACACCGAAGCGTTCATGCTGGAAACAAGGCAAAAAGCCTTTGATTGGATTGTCAACAAGGATCCAATCCAGCTAGAGTTTGATGCTCCTAATTTGGTGCAAAGGTTTCTTTTAGTTCTCTTCTACTTCCAAACCACGAGGCATCAACCATGGAAGGAATGCAATCCACCAGCAACTCCCCAACGAAGTGCATCAGGTAATTTCTGCTATACGCTTGATCCTTCCACAGGGGACACAACATCATCCATCTGGGGTGATCAGTGGCTCTCTGCCAGTCATGAATGCCAGTGGGCTGGAATGATCTGTGAGGCTGTACAGTCAAAAGAGAAGACAGTTGTTGGGTTACGAATGAGTAAGTCTTTTAGGCCAGACATGTGGATTACATCATTGTTTCTTACACATAGGAATGTATTCTTCAGCGTGGAATCAGCTCAATGGCCCTCTCCCATGGGAGATGGCACGATTGCCACACCTGAAACAGCTATTTTTGAGTCACAACATGCTGAGTGGAATGCTTCCGCCAAAGCTGCTCTCTTTTTCGTTGGAGTCGCTCCACTTGGGCAATAACCAACTCTCGGGACCCCTCCCTGCCAGATGGTTTGAAACTCTCCATGATGGAAATGCAAAACTCATCAATCTTCAAATCTCTTCAAACAGACTGACTGGGACAATCCCCTCTGAATTGGGGATTTCCCCCTTGAAGACCCTCGGTCTCAGGAACAATTCACTGACAGGGTCTCTGCCACTGGATTTGTTCCACATGGGTTCTTTTAAGAGTCTAGATTTTGTTCAAAATGATGTGAGCTATTGGCCTCCTCTTTTGTTGTACAAGCAGCCCAAACCATGAAGAATCTCACCTTTGGCCTCATTCCTCAATCCTTCCTTCTCATGAAGCTTACGGGCACCCTGCCAAGTGAAATTGGATTGCTAACGCACCTGCATTATATCTTTTTGAGTCACACTGGCATTGCAGGAACCTTACCCTCAGAGATTGGTCTGGCAACCCAATTGCACGAAATCTTTGCTTCCTACTCCAATATGGAAGGGACAATCCCAGAAGAAGTGTATGCTGGACTAACAGAACTCATTGCTTTGGCCCTGAATGGTTGCAACTTTTCTGGGACCATCAGTTCATCACTTGGTCTTTTCACAGATCTCGTGTGGCTGCATGTGGCCAACAACAACTTCCATGGCACGATTCCCAATGAAATTGGGGCATTGACTGAGCTGAGGCAACTAGTAGTGAATGGGAATCAGCTAACAGGCACTGTTCCTGTATCTGTATGTCATTCTGTTGCTTACATTGAGAATTATGGAGGCTCTTCTGTGGTTACGGCTGACTGCTTGCCAAATCCCGGAACTGGAGTTCCCACGATTGGGTGTGATGATGATTGTTGCACCAGTTGTTGTGACAACACAGGGGTTTGCCTTGCCAATTGAGTGGTCATAAGCAAACGTGCGTGTATACAGTATACTTTTACTTAGCAAATGCACAAGCACAAGCAGGCAATTTCTGCTTTCTTAGTGGCATTGTGCTGCAGCCTCCTTGAGGGACAACGGACCCTGCCCTATGGTGGATACTGGTACGGCCTACTAGCTACTCTAGAGTAGAAGTTCTGAGGGAGGTTTCAAGTAGCTGTGCCTCACTCCTCGCCGCTGGCTTCAAAGAACGTCGCTGGCACAACACAATGTCATCATCGAAGTCTTAAAGCCTTCTCAGAGAATTCGGGACTCCGGAGATTTAATGATTCTCGATGCAGGCGATGCACCGTCATTATCCTGATAAATCTCTTGTAAGTCCATGCAGTCATTTGATACATGCTGAGTGAACCTGTTCGCCTCTTCAACTCATTACAGGACTGTAACACGTCGCCATGTATGTCTCCATTGGAGCACGAAAGACTGTGAGACGGAAGACGGAACATGCCAATGTTCTTTTCCGCTGAGCAGCCTTGATCTCACCACACCGCCACCGGTCCCACCACAATTGACTTCTTTTTCTCTCTTCTTTTCGATACGTGCTACACAGTGTAGTAGCCAGCCAGCGCCACAAGATCCCCTTGTTGAGGTATCTGAGGTTACTTCATTTGATCCTTGCAGTCTGCCATACCTGCTCCTTGCTACTGTATTTACAAAGATCCATTGAATTGAATTGAATTGAATTGAATTGAATTGAATTGAATTGAATTGAATTGAACCATGTCAACAGCCGCCAAAGCCGAGAAAGACAGTGAGCTGCAGCAGGCAAGACAGTTGCTGGTAGACGTGGGTGTCATTGAAGATGAAGTTGCCAAGATCAAGGCACATGTGGCTGCTGCTAAGGAAGTCAAGCCTCGATCTACTCAAGATGTCTCTTCAGCTAATGGAGACGACGTGAAAAAGACGAAAGAAGAGGAAAACATCCGTCTCGAGAAGGAGCAAGGAAAGGCTCTTGAAAAGCCAACGGATCCTCTTTCTTCCGCCTTGACCAAGCGAAATGAAGCCAAGGGTACATTGGTCAAGACCAGATTGCCCATGCCACAAAGTGTCACCAATGCACAGAATGCGCTTCCTTTGCAAAAGGCCGTTTTGACCGTCGAAAAGATGGGAGCCATTCCTGCAGGAGCGGCAGCCTCACGAGGTGCCGGGCAAGCTCCCACCGGTCGTTCGGCGGCGGCAAACGATTCGAATCATCCAACAACTGCCGCTCGTATTCCCATGACAAATCTGACACGAACACCCGTTGGTCGGCAACAACCACCTTCCGAACCCGGTGCCATTGCCATTCTAGGGGACGCGGGATTGGACAATGAGGACCTGGAGAATGCGGAACACGCCATGAACAATCTCAGTGGCACACGGCCGTATTCCAGCGGAGCCTTTAACGCCGATGATCATTTGGTGTCGGCTCATTTGGTACCCGGCGAGGAGGATGACCCCCAAGAACAATCGCCCCGACGACAACCCTCGGAAAACGAGGTCTATGCCGTGGCCACGGTGGCACGAGACAATAGTCGTCTCTATGTGGGCGGAGGCATCGTGGCCGTCGTCGTTGCCCTTATTGTGGTTCTGGCAACGACACTCTCGGGAAACAACAAGGACAACGCCAACACTAATAATGAGGAACGCAGTAATGGAATGGAGGCACCGTACAATGTGACCCAACCTACAACGTACAATGTGACTGTACAAGTTCCACCCGAACCGTCCTATGAAGAATCCCTCCAGTACGGAAACACCATGAAAGGTCCCGGAAACGACAATCGATTCGGTGCACCCCTGGCAATGAGTGATGCCGGGGATATTCTTGCCGTCGGGGCTCGTGAGAACAGAGATGTCGCCGTCGACTCGGGAATGGTGAGAATCTTTCAAGCGAAAAACAAGACCGATGACGCCACCAACGAAACCAAAATTACGTGGGAACAACTGGGCAATGCTCTTTTTGGGCAAACCCAAGGAGACGAATTCGCATATAGTGGAATGGCCATTTCCGGAGATGGCACGCGATTGGCCGTGGGAGCACCCTATTTTGATGTCGTGACGACGACGACGACATTTGCCAATGGTACTACCACTCCTGCCGTCTTGGAGGATGCCGGGACGGTGCAAGTCTTTCAGCTCGTGGACACTACGTGGTCCAAGATTGGACAAGCCATGGAAGGATTGCAGGCCGGTGACGTTTTTGGTCGCGCCGTGGCCATGAGTCAAGATGGATCCATTGTCGCGGGATCGTCCTATGAAAGTAGCGAAAATGGATTTGCTTCGGGGAATGTCCAAGTCTTTCGGTCGCGAGAAGAAGACGATAGTACTGTGATTGGATGGGATCCCATGGGCCAAATATTGGTAGGCCGTGCCGAACTGGATCGACTCGGTCGGGCGCTTGACATGTCGGCCGATGGCATGCGGTTCATTGCCGGAGCCACGCAGTTCAAGGGTGAGGGACCTGGATATGCCCAAGTGTACGGGTTTAACGGCACGCAGTGGAATCAGATTGGACAGGATATTGTAGGAGAAACGGAACAAAGCGTCTTTGGAAGAGATGTGGCCATGAACCAAGATGGATCCATTGTGGCTTGCGGAGCCAACTTGGATCAGTCCAATGGTTTGAAAGGCTCAGGATTGGCTCGCATGTATCGTCTCGACACCAGTTCTGAGCAATGGGTCCAAATGGGACAGACCATTCTCGGCGCAGAAGAAGGAGATGGACTGGGTGTGACGGTAGATTTGTCAGCGGATGGTATGCGTGTTGCGATTGGAGCGCAGCAAAAGAAGACCAGCGTTGGATATGTTCGCGTCCTGGATTACGACGAAGCATCCGACATCTGGATCGACGCCGGACAAAACAATCTGACAGGAGCATTCCACTTGGACAAGTTTGGGTCGGATGTCCAGCTGTCGACGAACGGACAGTTCCTAGCCGTGGGTGCCATCGGGGCAGACTCGAATGGCGATGATAGTGGACACGTACAAGTGTTTGAGTTGAGTTGAGTTGACCAACTTTGGAGCTTTTGCCTCGTGTCAACGCGTCTGAAAATGTGACAGCAATCTGTAGATAACCTCCCTACAATACAACCCCTTATCATGTTCTCGAGATCAGTTATTACGAAGGTGTAGAACGTTGACTAACGCAACCGACATTGTCTGTGGTTGGCGACCTAGTGTGGCTAGTAATGCTCATGGTACATTGCAATCGAACAGGATATGCCAAAGGGTGTTGCCTTTTCTCACGGCCCATAAAAAATATCACTTGCTAGCTAGTTGTGCTTGTTCCCTTGTCGAAGCCCAGCTCAAGCTCAAGGCCAAGGCCAAGCAAAATTAGATTAGGAATGACTTGTTGCCCAACCAACCATCCATCACCATCCAATCAGCAGAGGCAATTACAACCGAAATAAGTTGCTTCGAAGGAGTAAAAATGGCAAAGAGACCGTGTCTGTTGGAAGGTTTCATTAACCCAGCAAGAATCATCTTAGCCCCCAAGCAGATTTTTGCTGAAATTGAAAACTTTCAAGGTGGAGGTACCATTGGTCTCTAGAAAGTTGAAAAACTTATGTGGAATTGTGCCGGTGAGTCTGTTCTCTTGTGCCAGAAATTTTTTTGAGGTGGGGCAGTGCTGCAATCTCAGATGGAACTTGGCCTGAAACAGTGTTGTTCTGTAGCTCAATAGTTTGCACAGACGCCATCAAAGCAAGTTCAGTTGGTATGGAAGAGTCCAATTGATTGTCACCGAGAGAAAGCCGCAAAAGTTTTGAATTCAGCAGTCCGAGTTCAGAAGGAATCTATAACAAAGAATCACAGGTTGGTATCTATACAAAGTGCTTCTTGCTCACAAGATTTGGTTGAACTTACTGGTCCATGAAAAAGATTTACACCTAAAATGAGATCAGAGGTAAAATTGAGAAGACCCAGTTCAGTCGGCAATGTTCCTGTCATTAAGAGCACAAGAATTGTGAGTTGGAAAGCAATGGAAGTCTTCCAGAGAAAGGCTATATTCCATCCAAAGAATGTACCTGTCATGAGGTTATCAGAAAACGAAAGCCAGTCAAGGTCTCCAAGCAAGCCAATGTCTGATGCCAAAGTCCCAGCTAGACTGTTCCCATACTAGTAAAGCCACTGAAGATTGGAAAGTTGGAACAGTTCTGTTGGAATGGTCCCCAAAAAATGATTTGAGTCCATCAACAATGTGTCCACTCTGGAAAGCATGCCAATCTCAGTAGGAAGTGTGCCAGACAGCTGCATTTGCTCGCTGAGAAAGAAGGCAAGATTGTCACTCAACATCCCAATCTCAGTGGGGAGAGTCCCCGTGACATCTGTGAAGCTGAAGATTGCTGCTTCCAAATCTTGCAAATGACCAATCTGCGAGGATATGGGCTCATCAAGCGTATTGAGGAAGAGACTCTTTGTCTTCAAATTTGTCAGCCAGTAGATTTCTTCTGGTAACTGGCCTTCCAAGCCGTTCATGTGGAGCCACAGCTGTTTGTAAGCACCTTGAGTTGGGTCCTCAACAATCAAGTTCGTTGCCTCCATAGTGCCATTTGCAATTGTATCATTGATGGGTAGATGGCATGGATTCTGATACTCCCCTCTGAAATAGTTGTCGCCAGACCCAGGAAGCTCAAAGGGAATGGATCCACTTGCATACCAAAAGCACTCATGGTGGCTATAACTCAGCCAGTTGTCATTGTAGGTCCAGTTGAAGCCATTGGTAGAGTGAAACAGTGCCACCAAGGCAAACCGCTGCTTCACCCTCCATTCCAAATCAACATATTCCATTAGATCTGGATCATCCAATAGCCAATCCAATGATTTGCATTGTGGAGACTCTGGGTCCTCCATTCCCTGGATAGTGTAGTTTGGGAAGTAGCCAAGGAGCTGTTCAAAGACAGGAGACAAACTAGGAGCCATGGTAGAGTCCATAGAGGAATGTTCTTTGCTGGGTTCGACATTTTCCATGGCAGGGGTAGCTTCATTTCCATCACCTGCTTTCCTCCCCAACAGGACCACAAGTAGTACAATGAGAATAACAAGACAGAGGCCAAAGCCAAGATACAATGCGATCAGCTTGTTTGACTCCTGGGTTTGTGCGTTCCTTTTCTGAAACTCTCTATTCTTGTTATACTCTTCTGCTTGTGGCAAGCTTCTTGGGTCTTCTGGATCGTCATTCTGCACCTCTCTAGCAACTGCCAAACCAGAGCTCTCCTGGTCGGGTGGTGTTGGTTCTTCTTCACTGTCATGGCTGGTTTCTTCACTAGAAATACTTAAAACCTGGGCATCATTATCATTGTCGTTGGACGGTGTTGGTGCCAAGGCATATGCTCCTGGTTCTACCTCTGTGGCTCCGCCTTGTGATGGTTGGCTGTTTGGGTGAAGATTTGTGGCATGGTACTCTGGTTGTAGCTTCTGCTCTGGCATTTTCATGAAGTTATCAAAATCGGTTCCATGATATCCTTGTTGTAGCTTTTGATCACACCTTATCATGTCCGCCTCATTCATGTCATTACGGATTGGGTGTTACCTTCTTCGGACTCGAGATTGGACGCAGACAACTCCTTCATGGTCGCCACGAACTTCATTTGATTGATGTTGATATTCAGCAGTGATCGCTAGCCCCTTGAACCCAATGAACTACTAATATACGGTATTACGAAGAAGTTTCTATGGGTTAGAGTGGACTGTGGGCTGTGGGGGAGAGTGGACGCCAGCTATGGAAGAGCAGGATGGTCAGCACGGAAACCACCAAGCTAACATGAATCGAATCTATCTTTGCATATGATCGGTGAAGCGGTGAAGAAGAGTGAGAGGGGCGAGAAAGCTACCAGCCCGAAGACCAAGAGCCTTGGGCAAAACCAAGAGCCTCCAACGCCATGCACAGAATACCATGGATTTCTTTCTGTCAGTGGTCCGTGGAACATCATGGAACAGCTGAAAGCCGCATGCTGTTTTTGCCACTCCAGCTCCACAACATCACAGCAAAAACAAACAACCACTCCTAATTTTTTCTTCTCACTTATCCCTCCTCTAAAATAGATGTACTTTGTCACTCCCATGGTAACATTCAGAAGTTACTCCCCATACCTACTTTGTCAATATTTGCATGCCCGTCGCAGTGGTTTAATCTAGAAGTCAATTTTGTGGCTTTTTAATTACTCAGGAGCTAGCAAACTGGAGGAGTCCATTTTTTCCACTTTTTGGAAGATTCCTCCATCAGGGGTGGTTGTGGAAGCCATTTCATAAGCCAAGACCAACTCTGCATGCCACAGTGTAAATACCAATGGATACGATGAAGTGTGTTGTTTATAAGAAAGCAGATTCTGCGTTGCACTATAGAGGATTTGTCGGCAAACAGGCTAAGCATTTTTCCAGTGAACAAGTAGCCAGTTAACAAACAAGACGATCAACAAGAAGATCAATCGATCAAACGACGACCGATCATATCAGTTGATCGATCCATACCGGTATGCATACCATACGGTATACAGCCGGTACCGGTAGGAGTACCGGTATCCTCGCACCTCTGTTGTGCTGGTCAAACGAATCGGATCCTCGCACCTCTGATCAACTTATCAAGCCGACCGTCTCCGGCATCCTCATTGAAATCGTGCCAGCTTGTTTTCTCTTACTGCTAACGGCCCATTGTCGAGTCCTTCTCGAACCATCGATCGCTCCAGGTAAAAAGTTTCTAAAAACACACACCCTCACTTATGGGACCATTGGCCCCAGGTTTAACCGGAGCGAAGCGATGGTTAAACCGTGGGGGCAGGTCCCTTAAGTGAGGTGGTGTGTATTAGAGGCAATACACCGATGGGCGGTGCCGACAGTAATTAAGGCGGTGATTTAATAATATTACAGGTGAAAATTCTATTTAAAGAGGTGAAAAATTCTATTTAAGCAGGTGTTCTCTGTGACAAACAGCAAGCATTGAGAACAGTAAAAATGAGCTGAAATCATCAAAATGAAGCAACGCCACCCCAACACCCAACAATCATCAACGGCAGCACTGCAACAGAGCAACAACCAACAGACAACTACTAGTACACCATACAAGTGGCGTTTGAACAACACCAGTACCAGAAGCAGCAGGATGACCACATCCACAACGACAAGCCCTCTTGGCGAGAGACACATTCACAACAACAAAGCCCTCACGGCGTTTGAGCGACACCAGTAGAAGCAGCGGGTTGATAGTTACGGGTTGACCACCAAACAAGCCCTCGCGGCGAGCGACACACCCACAACACAACAACAAGCCAACAACCAACAACGACAAGCCATCGCGGCGAGCGACAAACTGATAGCAACAAGCCCGGCGAGCGACACAACAACAATAAGCCCTCGTGGCGAGCGACACACCCAGGAGAAGTGCGCAGTAGTAGCGGATCGACCACAACAACAAGGCGAGTAAGAACAAACAGAATGATGAATCTTCAATCAAAGATGTTGGTTTGTGTTGAATGTGGGAGGAAAACCGTAAAATAGCTCTTTCAACAAAAAAAAATTGATTTTTACTCCTTTCGTTTACTTAACAGTCAAGTCCCGGTGAAAATTACTTAGGAAAGCCCAGGTGTGTTGAGGAAGAGGTTGTACCCATTTTCCAGAATGCATTGTTTGCTCGTCCTACAGTACCATAGGATAGATCATAACTTATCTCATACTAGTACCTGTTGGATACAGATCTGTAGCATGACCTTCGACCTACCTACATCCATACTATTTATATAAATACCGAATAGGTGTGCGTTGTGCTCAAATGATGGCGGGTTGCTATTTGGTTAGCACCCAAGCAATGGTACCACTATTGCAATGGAGCTGTAGCGGTACTGTACCGGTAGCTACCGGTAGTTTCCGGTGTAAAATATTTCTTAAAAGAGTGAAAAAACAAAGAGCCTGGCTCTTAGTCATCCAGCTGGTAGAAAGGTTATTGGTTTCTCACATCAGTGGTCAAAGAGGACGTGGCGTGTCGCTTCTTATGGTCAACTGAGGACTGGGGACATTTATTTGATAGGACATCAAGGAACACAGGAGAATGGAAAGAACAGAAACAGGCGCCATACACTGTGCAGTGGATTTATGGTTACGACTACCTTGAAGAAACGGGTTTCTCTGTGAGTCCCGTGTTCAACATGGCTCATGGCTTCCGGCTTCCGGCAGGTCGTCCCTGCCCGTTGACGAACCGCTGCTTGAACCCTCTTCACGGAGGCACCGAACCGGTTGATCAGGCTGAGCTGCAGGAATGAGGCAAAAGAAACGGGTAACTCTTCTGTATGGAAATGAAATGGAACCACCACATACGGTATGCATCATCTGCCTCAACGCCTCAACCTAGCGGGTGCAGCTGTTGTTACTTTCAAGCTTGTCAAGGCGCCCTTGAGCGCTTCTCAAATGCCATCCAGGAGAGGCTTGGCTCTTTGGTACTATTTCGTGGACTTCTACTCCAGAGAGCAAAAAAAAACGAATCTGCGATAAGGAAGGGGGGTTCAGAGTACTGAACTTCTCTATGAATGTCAGCTCGCTTCTTGTTCCAGCGAGGAAAGCCCAGAGGAGTCAGAAAGTGCACAATGTTGGACAGAGTCCAAAGCAACGAAAGTCACTGTTGTTGACTATGCAACTGCTTCGGTCTCTAGCTTGACTGCTTCGGTCTCTAGCTGGACTGCTGGGTAACAGCTTCTCAGCTCTTTGAAATCCTTTTGGTGGCACGACCAGAGCTGCGCAGCATTGACATTTTTAAGGATGAACGATGACCTGCGTTGATTCGCATGAGAAGAAATCGTGCGTTTCGATTGTGCAGATGGTGGGATATACTTTTTGACGCTGATGCATCATCCCCCATGTTTCTCGCAAGTCAAGAGGAGAGGGTGGGGCACGCAGTTGCAATACACGGCTCTTAGCCTTATTCGCGACTCGATCCTAGATAGGGTTTGAGTTCGACTCATGACGTAGTCCTTCGCGAATAGTCATTGAGACAGGGTTCTCATGACTGCTAGTCATACTAGGTTGTCGATGAAACATCGCTCTAGGTATTTAGCCGGCGTGGAAAGCTTCCACGCTACTAGACAGCTACTAGCTGAAGTTTCCACGTGTTCCGGAAATGGACCGTGGAGTACGTAGAGTTATTGCCATAACCTACGATATCACACTTCGAGGCCTCCCGCGGGAGACCAACTTCAATGAGCTTCACAATGATCTCTCTCATGGATTAGTTTTCGTAGCTTTCTAATATCTCTCATAACTTTCATTCTCTCAAACTCAAAACACTCGAAAGATCTTTACACTAGCTTTTAGCGTAGTGCATTTTGTTAACAAACACAATAGCTTTCAGCTACCCTCAACCTATTCCTTCACCATGAAGATTGCTCAAGGAAAGCATGCGTTCACCAACTTCGAGAAACAGTTGCGTGACAAACCCATTCTTCCTCTCGTGGACAACGACGAAGACGCCGAGATCGACGATTCTCGTGCAACCACCTACAAACTTCGCACCGTTCCTGCAGATGCAAACAGTGCCAAATATACCTTCAAGGTAGCCATCATCAATGGTTCCAACACTCCACGTCAGACCATCAAGTGGGCTACGAATATGGAGAAGGTCTTCGTTGGACTCAACCTTGCCAATGCCGACGACAAACATCGCCTTCTCAAGGAGATGACTTCCAGCTCTGCGAAGAGTGCCTACGAAGCTGGGTGTGCAGGCCATCGTGCAGTGCGTCATCACGCCCTACGACAAATTGCTGTGAACGCAATTCCTCCACGCGATGTGACTTCTGGAGAAACCGAAGTCCAATTCCAAGCTCGTGTCCAAGCCGCATGGGACGGTGCAGCGGAACCCGCTCTAAGCGATGCTGACATCACCTTTGGAATCAACGCGGTTATCGAAGCAGCCTGCCCTTACAAGGCTCTCGAAAAACAGAAGCGCTTCATGCGTCGCAAGATGCGTAAGCCTAGCGAAATGACAACTCGTGCCTACATCAACAACCTCACTCGGATGAATACTGATGAGCTTCCACGTTTGTCACCTTTCGGTGCTAATCAACAGTTGAACCAGGACGAATTCATCGACATCATCTGTCATGGCATTCCTCGTTCCTGGATGCGCAAGATGGACGAACACGACTTCGACCCTTTCACTGCCGAGATGACAGCGCTCATTGGATTCTGTGAGCGCATGGAATCCGCTGAAGACTTTGACAAAGGCAGTGATGCCAAGCAAGTTCCTTCGAAGAAGAACAACAGCAAGAAGTACA